CGGCCGCTTTTCCCCCGGGAAGAGAGCCCCTGATACCCATTGGATCGGAGGCTGGGTTACACATCTCTTTTAGACAAAATTTGTATAATCGCATCTGTTTCACCAGTTATATATGTTTAGGGCGAAGTGAATAAAATGTAAGCACAATGGGGAGGTCGTGTCGTCCGTCGGTTTGTCTGTCTTTTCTTGTGTTATTTTCATTTGAAGGATTCGAAAAGGACACCTGCCGAAATTAAGTCTTAAGTGAATTTTATGTCTTCTACTTTCTGTGATCTTACCCTTCCACACGCCATGATCCTGTTACAGCACTCGGTGTTCATAATGTCTTCTGCTGATAGCAGCAATCAATACCAGAACCCATGAACTACCCACAGCTCCCGAAACAAAACAATTTTACGTCTCATTTTCGTGTTCGTCCTACCCGGTTGAACAGAAGTTCATTGGCATTCAACAAGGTGCCCTTCAGGTGTTTCTTTTTAACCTTCGTAGAACACGTAAGCTTAAAGTGTCATGTTTGTGTGTTTGTGTTGGTCGCACCGTCATAGTGGGCTACCTCAACGCTTTCAAACTTAATTCATTAGAGGTCGGACCTCACAAACCTGGCATTATATGCGTCCGCACCGACTGTACACTGCCTCGAGTTAAGTCTGCCGGTCCCTTAATGTGACTTCAAAGAGACCGACAAGCTTGTATAGCCAACATTGTACCTTGTACCTTAAAACTGTGTAACAGCGCTAACATATTAAGTTAAGATGGCGTCTTCAGGTGTTTTGCTATCGTAACATATTCACCAGCCGTCGTTCGGAAAATTATCCGGTCCGGCTCCAGTGAAGCCCAAAGGATGACGTATTTGAAAGATCCGACCACTTTACCAAGATGGGGCACGTGCGAATTTCTAGATTATGAACGAGATTAATAATACGCAATAACGGCTCCGTAAATATTGTGTGGTGCGATACCTTCAAATTAGGAAATATAAGGTAAAGGTAAAGCTATCCCTGAAACAGGCCATGGAGGCCCACAGGGTTGTGAGACATCTAGGCTCCCACATTTTCTCTAGACAATCGGCTCACAGATGGCAGTAAGTCTGTCAGCCTTACGTAGTGGCCGGGCGCCCTTTACCCCCAGGAAGATTCTTGGTATTCATTTCTGCTAGAGGCTGAGTCGATACTAGGGCCATAGTGCGGCTGGAAAGATTAGGTAACTTGAAAAAAAGATCTAATGACTTCATCGGAATCGAACCCGCGACCTCCACCTAACGTAACTTTGACGGTTCGGTTAGTGCAGTACAGTGGAGTGGAGTGCAGTGAGTTGGTTTGTTGAGTGGGTGAATTAGAGGACTGCTGCAGTTCAGCCCCTGTGAGCTGTTGCTGTTCGAAGCTGGTATCTGAGAACGGGGGTAGGTCGGGAAACAAGAGTAGGGGGAGTGTCCGCCGTTGAAACCCGTCTATAGTCACACTTATACACGTGAGAATATCTTAATATTGTGCATCCTGCTGTGTGTCATAAATAAGATAAGGATGGAATACACCGTATACACAACAACAATCAGTATTCAAAACAAAGAGGATACTACTGCATCAACATTTGCTTTTATTATGTTTATTAGAGACGCAACATGTTTCGGCCCTTTCACGGGTCATCATCAGGCGTACAAAGCACGAGTCTAAGCTGTTGAGTGCTTCGACTGCGCCATCCGCGTCACACACACACACACACACACAATATGTAGCATATTAGGTTGGAATTCTGTTAGCCTGTCTTTAGAAATTGACCGTCTAAATGAAATAAGCGTCATCAGATTTAGCAAATAGGCCTGTAGCCTAATTATTATATTTTGACGCACAAACCCAGTCTTAGGCAACAACTCAGTAAACACATCCCGCGGCAACGAATACGCAACAGATGAAATCCGTTACTAGGCAATGGATGTGTTTTCTGTGTGGCCCGACCCGAGGATATAGTATAACGAGAAGCCAAGAATAACTGACAGTTCAGTTGGAGGCGTAGTGCGGTCAGAAATCGAGAGTGTTCAGTTGAAGATACTGATTTGTGAACTGTTGTAACCACTTGTATAAAGGCTCAGTAAATTCGATCATCAAATCAAACTTCGTCTTATTAGTCACGAAAACCCCTAATATGTGACAGTATCCAGGGAATATCAATTTAAGAGACAAATGATAACACAGACACTGAAAAAAGAAATCATAATTGCACTGCCATAAGGAACTGTCACATTTTGTGATTTATTGTTAAATGTGCAGAAACGTATTTTAATCAAAAAATTTACGGCGTGCTTAGTTTCGCTTTATGGTATTGTGAGAAAACTGAGGTATGTTAAGATCAGCTGTAATTAATCTCAGTGTACTGCCCTAGTAATTACAATCAAGTATGTAGCAGCTTTTTATATTAAGTAGTTTTGTTTTATTCGCAATGTAATTACAGTTCAGTGTGTGTGATATTAATTGTATGAACTTAGTTACGGGAAAACTTTTACTCAAATATTTACATATATTATACGGCATTACAATGTACAGTTATCCACTCATGCCTGCTGTTGGCGTATTTTAACAGGATGTTTCAGCAAGGAAATATTCCTGTAGGCAAGACACGTTTGCGCATTATATGTCGTGTTCTATAAACGTAACCATTTAGCACGTGATATAGATGTGGTAGACCGAAGGAATTTTCTAATTACCGATCCGTAAAGAATGATAGCCATGAAATGAAGTCTTCAGGCAAAATAGGCACACAACCCGTAGATTGTCCTCATGTTCTTCTTTTACATATACATGGAGAGAAAAATATATTTTTCGCGAAAGAAAACTGAAAGTGGCTCACTGCACGCTTTCCCTTCCACTCGTTTCAAGTCTGTTGCTATGGCCGCGCCATAGCTCAAGCGGTTAGTCGCTGGCTTCCCACCGCGGCGGCTTGGGTTCGATCCCGGGTCTGGTCAAGTGGGATTTGTGGTGGACAAAGTGGCGCTGGAATGAGTACTTCGGTTTCCCCTGCCAATCTTCATTCCACCAACTGCTCCACAATCACCCTCACCTATCAACTGGGGCTGGTACAATAGGCCAGAAGTGGCCGCAGGACAAGGGACTTAGACCCACCCCACTAGCATTTAAAAAAGTCTGTTGATAGATATTGACCCTGAATCTCATGGTGAACTTTTCGGGACACGCCCCATTGTTATGAACTAAAATCCATGCGTCAGAATCGAGGCCCATCTCCTCAGGGATTTAGACTGGAGGCGTTTGAGAACTGTAGGTTGGGGAGAACATCTGCATATTAAAATAGGAAATAACAGGAGAGTGAAGAAAATTAAATACCAGTAGGCTTAATGAAGTCGGTCTAAGGCATGAATTGTCTTCGCCTGCTCGAACATGGAGTCGTGTGTTCGAATCCCACTCGAGGCATAATATCTGTATGCGTCTGTTCTGTGTGTAGGTAGCGACCTTGCGACGGGCTGATCCCCTGTGCAAGGAGTCGTACCGGCTGTGTATAGGATTCAGAAACTGAAAAAAGGGGCCAAGTTCTACAAGGGCTGTAGATCCATAGAGAGAGAAGGAGGGCCTAATGAAGAGCTTCATATTTCATCAGATGTCACTCCTCACCATAAGTTTTAGAGTGATTAAGTCAGGAAGAGTGAGAGGGGCTGAAAACTTTGGAAACATGGGGACACGACAAATGCATACAAAATCATAATCGTAAAATCTAAAGGACAAAGACAACACGAGAGATGAGAGAATAAGATTGAATGTGAGTCTTAGAGATACAGGATATGAGATATATTGAATGCAAGTGGCTTAGAATAGATTTCAGTGGCGGCTGTTGTGAATATTGTGACATGATCGAATATCTCAACAAGAGACGTCATCCATTGCTAGGCAACGGTACATTAAACACGCTTTGACGTCATTGCCATTGCTACGCATAATAAAAATGCAAAAATAGAAGACCTGCTGGAAGCGGTGTTTTCTATTCGGTCCGATTCGAGACTGCATAGCGAGTTGCTGTCGGTAACCCATATTCTCTTCAGAGAAGGACTATGATTGCAAGGGATCATTTCTTACTGAAAACCGTCACAACACAACACCAATAACACTTGTAAGCAGCTCTAGAAGATACCTTTGTTACACGTTTCGGCCTTCAATAAGGCCATCATCAGGCAAATACATTAAAACTAATTTTATTGAATTGCATGCTAAATATAAGTCACAGTACTAAACTTCCAAATATACACTGGTATAAAATGATATGAGTGAATGCAAATATAAATTACAATAAAAGTTAAAATCTTAATCGATCAGTTACATAGTGAATAGTATAGTTAAAAATTGTATATGCGATGGTACTTGGAAGTTGTTAGTTGTAATCGTAATGCATGTAATACTTATACGGACATGTTATATACACAATGGCTGATATGGTGTACGGAGGTCCGTTGTTATGTTGTATGTTATTGCTTAATTTACTATTTGACGGGCGACTCTGTTGTGTAAATGTCCGATTTGATGAAGAGATAGATTATAACAGTTGCAAAAAAAGAAGTCTCTTGTCGTGATCCTCAAGGGGCTTGGCGCCAAGACGAACTGATTGGTGGTAAACCGCCAGTCTTAGAATAATTCAGACTCTCTCACTCTCTATTAGCTAGTTGTGAGAGAGTCGCCAGCCTGTAACAACGTGAGCGGAGGACTTTGTTGGGATCCGTTACCAGGCAACCGCTAGAGAAGCCATAGAATAGAGAGCGTGTGGTGTAGTGAGAAGTAGAGTGCGTGAATTAGTGAGTTTTATAATTGCGTGCAATTTGCAATTTGTAAGTTTTCATTAAATGCAGTTACCAATCCAAACCCCGTGTCTGGTTACTAACACGTGACATTATGTTAATGAACCAAAGAGTTCCATAAAGGACAGAGAAACAGTTACCTTCTCATCAAGGTCTCTGCTCTTTGGAACTGGTTAATTCGCACAAAGTCCATCTGGATTATTCTTATCAGCAGGTCTCAGGCGACTCTGATGAGGAGCTGGAAACTCGGCATAGAGACGTAGGCACTAGAAACAGAGCAACTGGGGAACTCCAGGAAGAGACCAAAGTAAGTAAATTTTTGTGGCATATAAGCAAGCAAATTTGGCCCGGTATTTGTCAGGTCATGAAAATGTATAAAGGAGTGGAAGACTAGCTGCATGCATCAGTCTCGACAGTAGACGGAGGTGAGTGTTCAGCATCACACTTCGGCCATCTTAACCCCGCTACCCCCTGAATAAGAGCCTGGGTGGACCCCAGACGGTCTGGAACTTCGTCGATACTTTACAAAATAAAAGATTGTACTGCGTAGGGCTATAGGTCTAAACCACTTTTTAACAGAACTGTTATATAGTACAAATGTTTCACTTTATAGATGTATAAAATGTTCTTCACTTGAATTTTGTTAAACGCACACGGAGTGTGATTGTTTCACTTGTGGTTTAATCGCTTAATTTCTGTAGCGTAGAGTTAACGTATTTCTTATGAAATACAACAGAATTTTTGTACACTATTTAAAAGAAATTCAGTCCATAAAGGACTAATGTAGCCACTAATAGACTTGTATGATAAAAATTACTTCTTGTGTTAATTTATCATCAAATTTTTTCACTTTCTTTCAGGATAAAAATCGGAAATTCGATCAGCTGACGAATAGACATCGAAAAGAAGAGATGAGGAGATATTACAGGGTAACTATACATAATTTCGTTTATCAAAAATGACTATGGACAAAGTCCAAAACACAGCAATTCTCACTGTTATACGCCATCGTCAGAACCCATTAGAATCTATACATCGGGTACTAGACAAGAATGGAAATATGACTTTCATTTCGAAATGGGTTAAACTTACCCTGTTTAAGGACATTCCATATTTCGTAATAGGACACTATAAATTCTTCTCGGTATTGGGTATCTGTTACACAGTTTAAACATTTGTCCTTAGGCGGCTTCATTCAGGGAAATAAAGCCTGAAAGTTACGAAACTGGATAGGTTTACCGAACACAAAATTTACATATATCTTCACTATGATGTTTTTCTCTCCTTGTATTGCAGACACAAACCTACGAGTAGGTATTGTTGAATTGCCTATTAAATAACAATAACAACAAATGTGAATCTTTGAATTATATCGTTAACAAGACTAATAAACCGTAAAGACGGAGATATATGATATTCTGTTTATCTTAATTATACCACATAAAAAACTTTCAAATATTAATTAGTACAAAGACAAAACAACTCCGTCCAGTGTGACTATTTAAGTTTTAATTTAAAAACTTTAATACCAAGAAAGCTGCTGTGATTGTGAAAAAAATTGGATTTGGTGTATATTGCGTATTCCAGGCATTATGTGTATGTAATTTAGCACTCAGAATACCTATTATGATAGTAGTTTCCAAATAAGTATTGATGTTCCCTCTGAAGATTATCCGTAAGGATCGAAACATGTAAGGGTGCTAAGTTTTCAAGTAGTAAAACTTAAATAGTCACACTGGACAGAGTTGTTTTGTCTTTGTAATTGTTATTGTGACGGACCAGAATGAAACAAATCAAAGTTATTAATTAGTTTTTCATCTGAATTAGACACATATTGTATGATGCGCCGATAGTTTATACTACAAGCCGTGTCTGAGAAAAGAATACAAGCGTTCAATTGGAACTTATACATTTCCAGGGCTAGATTTACAGTTTATAAAGACCCAGGGACAATCAAAATGTGGAGAACTTTATCATAAAAAAAATTAAGTTATGAAAAGTAACTATTATTCTTGTTTCTTAAAATAACGAAAAATACAAATCGACTTGACGTGATTTTAGAGAAACAGGTGGCTCAGTGAAATGCGTGGATTCTATTTCTGTTTTCTTGGAGGCCTCGAGGGGCGATCGTCCCGGTCGCACCTCCTCAAGTCTGGCGCTGTCAGTATTACGTTTAATAGCAATATTATCGGCTGTTTCACGCGTGGACACGAGCTACACTTAACGTATTCATTTCCTCCACTTCGCTTAAAGAATGTATATAATCCGTCATCGCGAAATACTCTCGTGGAGAGAGAACTATTAGGAATGACACAATGCTTAGTTTCCATGTACAGTCATTGCCATAAAAAGTGCGTCATGATTTTTCGTTGTTGAAGCGCACTGTCTCAGAGTTCAGTATTGCATGACAAACTGCTGCGTATAATTTAAAATATTGACAAATTTTGTGATGTGTGTAAGAAATATGGTAATTCATTTTCTCTAAGCAAAACATTATTCGATTTCAAATATACTACTCAGATCTGAATGTATATAATTGTATGTTGTTGTCATACAGTACTGACTATATCTGTTTTCCTTGCTCTCTTCACAATATCCGATTTTACCGCAGCAGTCCAGGTCTAGTGAACGCTTTGTCTGGCTGTACATAAATTGAGAGTCATTCCTGTTTCTCTGGCAGCACTTCATGGAACTGGAACCCGTAGTGGAACTGGAGGAAGACTCTGGAGGTGGAGAGGACTCTCCCACGTCATCTAGCTCTCCTTCTCTCTCGCCACAGTCTGATCCCGAAGACATGTGGGCAAAGGTCAGTATATACAGAGTGTCTCAGGAGGAAAGGTCAATATTCTGGGAGGCCATAGTATCGGTCATTCTAAGCAAATAGAGTATATGTACATGTGTCCTGTTCCGAACGGTTTCCGAGATAGAGACATTTCACTGTACAATACAACGTACACTGTACAGACGACCAACACGCCATGTCACACGAGTTCCAATATTCATTGATGTTGATGGCGTAGTTTTCAAATATGTATTATAGTAGGTGAGCCCGTCACGGTAGCCAAGCGGTCTAAGGCATGTACTGTCTTCGCTCGCTTGGAAACCGGGATCGTGGGTTCGAATCCCGATCAGAGCATGAATATTTAGTTTGTGTGTGTGCGTTTTTGTGTGCTTGTGTACAGGTAGAGGCCTTGCGACGAGCTGATCACCCGCCCAAGGAGTCCTACCGAATGTGTAAGATCGAGAAAAACCGGAGTGAACGGAGAAGTTCATGGAGGTAGGCCTAGGCCCACGGGGGCTGTAGTGCCAAGGAATAAAAATTAGAAACAGTACGTAATATCTCTTTCTTATCAACAGTTTTGGAACTGTACAGTGAAATAGCTCAATCTCGGAAACATTTCGCAATAGGACACATGTACATATATACATTATTTTGTTTAGAATGACCGATACTATGACCTCCCAGAATATTGACTTTTCCTCCTGGCGTGCGCGCACACACACACACACACACACACACACACAGTGGTTGCCACACTGTGACTCACGAAATGGTGAGTTGTATGGACAAGGTTATGGATTGCATTGTTGCAAAAGACCAAAATTGGGGCGATTTGATGATGTCAGAGATCTTAGGATACTGAAAATTAAAGATTGGAGATCCACTGCGAGGGACAGAGATGCTTGGAGGCTGTTGGTGCAGGAGGACAAGGCCCACAAACGGCTGTAGGGTCAGTTGATATGTATGTACGTATGGGAAAAGGCCATTTTGGAAACTTAGGTGTAGACGGGAGAATAATATTGTCACGTATAAGGGGTTTCGTGACCAGTAACAATGGGTTCTGGATTGATGATTGGGTTTATTGACACTTCTTTATAATTAGAGTCAATTATAACAGCTCGCACATTGAACTCCTGAAAGACGTCTGTCTGACGAATCTCTCTGAAGTATCTCTCCCGAATGAATTCTGGATCCTCTTACGGCCGGAGTGGCCGTAATACATCTTACTAGAATTATCAACATTTGCAAATATATTTATGATTCAAATTTATACAAATAATTCAGCAGTTAGCTTGTGTTCCCTGCAAACTCTTGTAAAGTGAATTTACATTAGTAAAGCGACGATGTATCAGACTGACGTCGATTTTTAAAATGATTTCAGTTTTGCCTGCGTTTTTTTTTATTTAGATTGTGATTCTTACAGAGCAGGAGGTGAGTATTGTCTTCTGCAACATGACGCTATATATTTTGTGTTTTAATTTATGGCACTGTCCGTATTTAGCCTATATATTGTGGCGTATAGACCCGTTTCTAGGCAGCGACCGCGAAACAAAAAAGAAAACGTTCGTTACTTGGCAACAAATTATAATAAGCAACAATAGACTCACACCACAGAAGACAGTGAATTTCTTTGGCTTTTGTTCTTCAACTATTGGAGATATTGGTGCTCTGATTTCAGCTGCCTGATAAACGGTACCACGACACCCTGTATTCATGCCTGCTGAAGGAGCACCTGGAACTCCAGCGTGAGTACCAGTTCCTGCAGACACGACTCAAGAAGGAGCTCGCAGAGCCAAACAGAATTCGTCTGAGGTTGGAGCACGAATTGGCTGCAGCTAGAACGCACGCTCGGAAACTGAAGAGAAAGCTTGCTGACCAGGAAGGTACTGTTGACACTGAAATTCCTTGAGTTGGCGTCTCATTCTAAAGTAAAAACAGAACTTTGGGGGTGTACTATGTGACATGATGCGTTTTTCTGGCGTTCAGTGTATATTGCATTGTCTCTCGGGTATAACAAACAGTGTAACATAAATATTATGAACACTGCAGAGACACCTGCAACGTCTTCCCTCGCGATTTCTCTGAAACGTCAATACTATGCCTATTAATCTTCCAAATTGCATTGTCTTTGAATGAACTTTTATGACGTTGAAATATCTAGAGTTAAAATCTTTACTTTTAATGTCTTTTTCGGTTATATTTTAGAAAGAGTGTGCCATAAGTAAGGTGGCTACTATTCTGGTTTCCTGGGCACGCGGTAGCCTAGTTCACTGAGGCACTATGCTACAAGTCGGTAAGTCGCGGGTTCGATTCCCGATGATGTCATTGGATTTTGTCAATTGACCTAATCCTTCCAGCCGCATTATGGTCCTGGGGTCGACTCAGCCTCTAACAGAAATGAGTACCAGGAATCTTCCTCGGGGTAAAGGGCGGCTGGCTCGTAAGGCTGACAACCTCACCGTCATCTGTGAGCCGATTGTCTAGAAAATGTGGGAGCCCCGACGTCTCACAACCCTATGGACCTTCACGACCTGTTAACAGGGATAGCTTCACCTTTTACCTTTTTTTAGTATCAAGGTTTCCACAGCGACAACTAGGGCCCTATCCAAAGTGAGATCATGTGGGATTTACGGTGGACAAAGTGGCACTGAGGCAGGGTTTCTCAAAATAGTTCGGTTTCTTTTGCCAGTTCTTGTTCGACTTAATGCCCTTTATTCATCGTTCATCCGGAGCCGATAAATGTCCATTTGTGGCCGACCTACCAAGTGGGAAAGAAAATGAAAGCGCATAGTACAATCTCGGTTAATGTTCTTTCGTCAGTCATTCTACCCAGATGGTTTATCCAGGTTTTAGCTCATCATCTGTCTTACATTGTATTGCTCGCATTTTAATTCGTTCCCCGTACCGATGTTTGAGTCATGTGAATTAGGATCTTCAGGCGCATGACCTAAAGGTCGAAATGTGTGTCACACAGGTGGAAGCTCTGTACTGAAGGAGAGAATTGCGGCTCTACAAGCCGAGGTGCACGACTTACGTGAGCAGAATGAATTGCTAGAATTTCGCATCCTTGAGCTGGAGGAATGCCACGAGAATGTAAGCAACATCATTACGTACATTTACTACACATTATTAACTAAGTCCATTTAACTAGGATTAAATGGGCAGTGCATGTAGCATAGGAGAGAAAAGGAATGCATATACGGTTTTGGTGGGAAAATCAGGAGGAATAATAGAACTAGAAAGACCTAGATGAAGGTGGGATGATAATATTAAAACGAATCTTAGAGAAATTGGATGGGGTGATATGGACTGGATTAATCTGGCTCAGGATACGAGCAGTGGATGGCTCTTGTAAATGCGGTAATGAATCTTCGGGTTCCATAAAATGTTGGAAAATTCTTGAGTAGCTGATCGACTGGCGGCTTCTCAAGGAAGACTCAGCTTCATGAAGCTAGTTAAGTCCATTTATCAGAACCCTAATAATCGCTCAGCTAGTCATGATATTTCCTATTTTTATGGAACCTGAGGCTTCATTGTCATGTTCACAAGAACTCACCGCTGGAATTTATCAAGAAACTCAGTCCACACTTTCAAGCCTTATTTCTTTAATATCCTTTTTAATATTATTCCAGCTTATCCCTATAGGGGCATGCCTAAGCGTATTTGGTTGAACACTATTCTACAAGCCGGGAGGTTTCCGTCCTTAGATGAGTGGGGAGGAGCTCAGGAACCTACTCTGTTGGGTCCAGTGAATGAGGTTAGCTCTTTCTAAGGGACCCAACAAAATAGATGTCTACCCCTCATCTGAGGATGGAAACAGATTCCGTTTCCGAAACGTTGTGATTTCTAGTTTCTAGAATACCGTATGATGGGCAAAGTCCAAAAACCCAGTAATATTAAGAGCGTAAAAGGCTTGCCCTGCGATCTCAATAATACCTGTTTTGTCGCAGTCCTAAATGTCTGTATAATACAGTCCAAACGGTCGAAAGTTTTTCAGTCATTGCCCAAAGGAAGACAGGAGGCTTAACTTAATATCTCGTTGAATCAGCGTGACACGGTAGTTGAACGGCATCAAGTTGTTTTCCTCCTGCGAACCCAACAATTCTATTTCTAGCCTTATGTAACCAAGTGTTAGCTGTACATCGAGTTTTCTCTGTGACTCATAAATATTCGTTAACGCCTCTCAGACATTTCATCTTGTTTTCGTGTGTAATGGGCCGTTGTTTAATATCATGAAAGCGCATGCGCGTTTTGTTCCTGAGCGGATATTCATTGCAAGTGCAGCGCACTGAGAGCTCACACGAGATATCATTGCACCGGAAGTTTCCTTGTATCAGCTTGTTTGCAATTGAGTAAGGTCAGTAGATTTCTGCAGAGTTTCTTTTGTTTAATTCCTTGTTATACTTTGTGCATCGTTGAAGTGTTTAATAAGTTAAACATAGAAAGATATTCCACAGATAATACTGCCTTGTTTCTGTTGATTAAATAATGCAGTTAATGAAATTTATGATCATTATACATGTTTTTTTTCCCTTGGCACTACAGCCCCAGTGGGCCTAGGCGTACCTCCATGAACTTCTCCTTTCACTTCGGTTTTTCTAGTTCTTACACATTCGGTAGAACTCCTTGGGCGGTGATCAGCTCGTCGCAAGGCCTCTACCTGTACACAAACACAGAAACACACACACACACAAACTAAACATCCATGCCCTGAGTGGGACTGGAAACCACGATCCCGGTTTCCACGCGAGCGAAGACAGTACATGCCTTAGACCACTCGGCTACCGTGACCGGCCATTACACATGTTAGATTGTATCAAATCTTTAATTTAGTTTAATATTAACAATAATATATCTGACTGATATGAAATGTTTTCTGTGATTGTACACAAAGAGTGTAAGGATCAGGGTGACACAGTCAGTATAGAGACAGGGCTACGGGCTGGATGTCCGGGGTTGACTCTTGGTAGGGTCGGAGAATTTCTTTTCGTCACCAAGTCCAGAATAATCCTGGGGGCTATCTAGCCATCTGTGTAGTAGGTGACGGCATCTTTTGCCTCAGGTGTAAAGCGTCTTGAGTGTGGAGCTGAGAAATGCCAAGGTTCACAATTCGTGAAGCAGTGATATCTACTTCCATTACTCTGTAGATGTTCATGGCACAGTGCTTATTTAAACACGCGACACGTTTATTATAATGTACACTTAAACGCTCTGTGGAAGTAACAAACCGTTCTCATTATTTCACACCAAAAATATCTTTAAAATTTCGCCCGGAAGATAGTTCAGTTTGCGTAAGGTCTGTATAAAAATTGAGGGCACCCGGTAGTGCAGTTGGTTGAGGAACAATACTGCAAGCCGGAATGTCGCGGGTTGGATTTCCGATGAGGTCAATAGGTGCTTAAATTGACCTAATACTTCCAGCCGCACTACGGCCCTGGGACCGACTCAGCTTCTAATAGAAATGAATACTAGGAATATTTCTGGGGGTAACGAGAGGCCGGCACGTAAGGCTGACAACCTCACCGTCATCTCTGAGCCGATTGTCTAGAAAATGTGGGACCCTCTACGTCTCACAACCCTATGGGCCCTCACGGTCTGTTAGAGGGATAGCTTTACCTTTACTTTTACCTGTATAAAATGAGTCTGTTTGTCAATAAGACGTGAAGGGAATGGTATACATACAGATTCCACGAAATATGTTTCAATTTGTAAACGACAGAAGGCTAATATTTTTATCATAGAAGCTAAAGCTACAATATAATTCGATTCCAGGGTGGATAATATAATGTTTGACGTACACGATTCTTCTGAGAACCAATACCGGGAGAGCGGAGCGTACATTGAGACTGACAAACTCATGACCGCTTCTCTCCCCTCATTTGCACTTCTGCTGCCCAATCGCTATCCTAAATAACCACCTCATTTGATACGTCATTGTAAAATACACGAAGGACTTAGTTAAGTGTTTTCCACCGCGGCGGCCTGGGTTTGAGCCCGGGTCTGGTCAGGTGGCATTTGTGGTGGACAAAGTGGCGCTGGAGCAGGTTTTCTCCGAGTACTTCGGTTTCCCCTTCCAATCTTCATTCCACCAACTGCTCCACAATCACCCTCACCTATCATCTGGGGCTGATACAATAGGCCAGAAGTGGCCGCAGTGCAAGGGACTCAGTCCCACCCCACTAGCAATAAAAAAATAGTTCAGTGTTAATTTCGAATTTTAGATATGTTTCACAGTTCCTAGTTAAGATATTTAACAACTTCGATAGTACTCTCTTCTAGGATATAAGGCCATGTAGTCTGATGGAAGTCACCCGATGTTTCGGATAAGTTTCTCCCCTCCATCTTCAGGGTGAATAAATGACTGAATGAATGAATGAATGATTGCATAAAGGGTAGGCACTTGCACTGTGACTTTCAATGATATATTGTACTTCCCTTTTAATTAACATTTTATCAATCCTACACTTCGTATGAAATGTAGGACTTTTGTTTAGGAGGGCTGCATAATAGTCACTTGGTTCCTTAAAATCTTGCCTAAGTGATGAAATCTTAAATACGCTGTGGCCTCACAATCATATGGGATGTGTGTGGATGATTCATTTTTTCCAAGCAAGTGTTGAAGAGTAAGCCAAACAAAAAACCATCATGGCTCAGGCAGCAACCTCTCTTTTCCGCCTGCTTCATGTTTGATTCTTGCGTCGTTTTTTTTTCGACGCTGAAAAAAATAGGCGAATTATTTCTCCGAAAGATCGAGTAACTTCCAGCGGACTACAAGACATTGTGACCCAGACGATGCAACTTTTCGTAACGGCCTCTGACAGAACCTCAAATCCTACTTCATGATCTTGGTTAGTGGTGCTCAGCCTTTTCAGAAGGCACAGAGATTTTCAGTTATGAGCATTCGTGGTGATGTGACTGTTTCAGTTGTCCGTGAGAAGTCACGGGCCAGACACACGTGACGTGTGGACCGATACGGAGAGTGACGACGTCAGTGACTCGGGCGTCCAGTCCTCCCCATCCAGTGACACTGACGACAATAGAATGGTGAGTAGGTACAGTCATGATCGCCATTCATGCCCCTCAATAAAACTGTAACTATATTTGTTTAGAGGGGATTATCTAGAATTGAATTATGAGCACGATTTGGACACTGGTATCCTGAATGAAGTAGTTTATTGGGTTTCAGTAATCCCTCCAGGCAAATCCAGCTGTAGTATCTGGATTAATCCACAGCCTCTTCCTTTCAAATCCTTTCCCATTCACCATTCATCTATCATATAATCTTATGTTATGCAATGTCGGTACTGAAAATGCGTCGTTATGTAACTCAAGGAAAGAATGAAAAATACAGGAATATAGTCTCCATCTTTACAACCAAGTCTTGTAAGATTCGGCTTGATTAGATCCATTCATTTGTGCCTATGTTTTCCAAAATGGTCTCTCTTGTTTAGATTTCCCAGACTAAATTTCTGTGTTTCTCATCTTTCCTCAAGTGTTCTGCTTGCCCCACCTATTTCATTTTGAAAATACTTGGTGAGGTAAATATATTATGACACCCTTCATTATAAATCTCCATCCCCTTTCTTTCTTTTATGCACCGGACCTGAATATTATCACATTATCCTCAGACACCCCCGTTTATGATCATCCCCTCGATAAGAATCACATCCACATATAAAGCGTGCAAATTTTTAGTTCTGTGTATTCTAATTTTTACGGTTTTAGATGGGAGAAAGACTATAAAAATTCCGAACTGAATGTTAGCGAACATTCCTGGAATTTAATTTGCTTTTATGCCGTTAGGTTGTTAATCACCTGCTTCCAAATGTGGCTGCCCGGGTTCTGCCCCATATCAGGTTATGTGGGATTTATGGTGGACAAACTTGCGCTGGGGTAGGTTTTCTCCGAGTAATCCGATTTCCCTTACCAATTCTCATTCCACTGACTGCTTCACACTCATTATCTACCATCCGGGGTTAGTACAATAAGACAATTAGTGTCCGATATATCAAATGGACTCAGTCTCACCTCACCCCAAGAAAAAAAACGTAAACGGATTGCATTTCCTCGCAGAATAAGTACAGGTTTTTAGACGATAATGTACCGTGATAGAGTGTAAAGGTGTTGCTGCTTGTAATGCAGGAGATACGGAATGAGGAGCTCAAGGACCGCCTGCTGGAACTCTCCAAGACGTCCTCCAGCACTGCAGACCGGTGTTGTCTGCAGCAAGTTCTCGTGCTGCTGGAGAACTACGAGACGCGCATAGAGGAGGTACCGCAGGACAGCCCGACCGGGGTAACCAAACATATGGTTATGTTTCGATAACGTGCATGCATTTGTTTCGTACTCAGTAGGTCCTGGATTAAAATTTCGGCGCTGAGGCAGGTGATTCTGAAGAGGATTTTTGTGTCTCCTTATTATCTCCGTACAAACGTTGGAAAATACGACAATTAAAATAATTCACGACCGCCTCCTTCCATATGAATACATAATACTTACGTGTATATATGTGCATACATACACGCACACATACGTACATAAAGCAGACAAGCAAATGTCTGAAGCTTATAAAATCTTGTCAGGCTATCAGCTGTGTGGGTTAAAAATCACAGACGACCCTACCTGTCCCTGTAACGTCTGTTTTTTTTTTTTAACCAACTGGTAATCCATGAAGATTTTAACAAATTTTTACCTCTCCAAAAGTGCTTAAAATTTTATGAGTGGAAACATGTTATAAATTAAAGAAACGTGTTTGTTTACAGGGTAGAGCACTGCGAAATCCATCGGAGACGGCCGGTATCAATGATTCTTCGAAATTGACGAGCAGAATCATAGCAACGGTTCTCCCTTTTATTGACCAAAGCGTTGACACAGACAAGAACAGCAATGACAGAGAAGGAGACGAAATCAAGAAGCAACTAAAGAATGCTGAATGTTTGCAAGAGAGTGGAATATTCGAAGATGTTGAATATAACTCTCAAGGAACTCAGACTGACAGTATGGACGTAGAGCCTTTAGTTGGAGAAGGCAAGACCTGTGTCGTGGGGGATCTAAGTGCAGAGATCCAGAGGCTGAACCAGTTCCGGGAACGTGTGGAAGAGGCCGGAAACTGTTGCGGCAACAGGAAGTTGCTCCGGGTGGGCGAAGGAAGGGTAGACGAGCCACCTCCCCAGCAGAAGGAGCTGCAATATTGTCGGGAGCGACTACAGCTGCTGGAGGACAAGGTGAGCTGAGGCTGTGTTCAAACTGGTAAGACTATATCATTTTAGCCTACTTTCCCTTATTTTTTAAAAAATAAAAGGATTATGATATCACCTCGCCGTCTGAAGAATGCCGTCTTCTGCTTGGAAGAAACATGTAGATATAGTGTAAACTACACGTAGATCTAAATGCCGCCACATCCCAGAAGACGGCATTCTTCATTGTCACCGCCGTGAGATCATCTAGCTGCCTGTGTCTGTATGCCTGCCCATAATTTTTTCGTTTTCTCTGCGGTCCGTGTTGTGTTAAGGAGGCTTATGAGATGACTTCGCTCTCTGTGCATCCCCTTAATTATTTTTTCTGCTGTCCGAATAGTATCAAAGGAAAGTGCTTATTATAATGGTTCGGGTTTCAGTAAAAATGAGACATTTCTTGGCCTACTATTCAAGAAGCTGAAACTGGAGTTGTATTAGTTTACAGAATAGAAATTATCCTGCTGCCATACTGACGGTGATGACAGCATCCTCAGTGGACAGACACTTAATCTTTAAAGACTAAATTTCTTCTAAATAAATATATAAATCCAGTTCGTACCTCACAGGAAACATATTACATCCCCGGTAAAAATATCAACCGGTTAATGCTGTTCAGAAAAACAGTCACTGTTTATTGTGAGAACCACACGAACACACAGATGCACTCAGTGGGCAGAGTGCAGTTTCAGTACTCCTATGTTAAATCAGATGGTACAAAATATTTGGCTTTATAAAGTGTTGATCCAGGCGTATGAGAGTGAGCGGCCTTCTAAAATGTTGGCGGAAAGTCAAAGGAAACATGGCCCTATGCGTTGTTTCAGGTCCTCGTGTATGAGAGCAATGGGGAATTACAGACGCGCCTCCTTGCAGAGCGCCTGCAGAGGGAAGTTCTTCTGTCCGCGCAAGTTAAGGACCTCACAGCCAAAGTCCAGCATTTCGTCGTCGAAAACAGGCGCCTGGAGGAAGAGAAGTGTGAGTTTGAGGAGGCCGAGAATGACACGCGTCTCAAGTGTCAGAAGTAAGCAACACGTCTTTTTTTGTACCACTTTTTGCATAAATCGCTGGGGCTGGCATTCCCTCAGTACAGTAGTGTTTATGTGCATGAACTATAGTGTGTTACTAAAAGTGTTTCATTCTGATTGCTGTTACTTTGCGGAACTATTGTGTCCGCTTTTCCAAAATCTAGAAATGAATTCACTGGCTCGTGAAACTGTCAATATAAGAACACACAGGGACAGTTTGGGTAGAATGATAGAAGACTCGCTAGAAAGAAAATTTCTAAACATAACTTCACGAGACAGAAATCTGTAGAAAGAACTAGAACATAATGGTGGGATGAACAGCAATTTCACTGTTAAAGGAACAGATCTAGAATCTTCAGATGACTGTAATGATGACGATTAAAATATTACATAGTGATATTAAGAGTTATATATAAGCTTATATAGCATTCTTGCATGTAAAATCATAGTCTCCATAGAGTCTTCCCATGGTAGTAACCACTCTGAAACGCTTATATCGATATAATTTTAAATATTTCGATGTAAATTATTGGGATCTCTCAATAATTTGTTCATGTGTACAGTGTACCCGTTGGTCCATAAGTAAACTCTCTGAGTTTCAACCAGTGACTTCTCCTAGCCGATTAAGTACGTAATGGGATCGCAATAGACGACAGTCCTCAAAGCCTTCAAATAATGCCAGTCTGTCAAATTCGCAAATCCTCCTCTCAGGATGGGCCATGTTCCGTATTTTCAGTACAGTTGTGTCCAAGGTTAATATTGCTAATTGTGTTTTGTAGGTTGGAAGTGAAGCTGGCCGCTTTGAGCGAGAAGAAGGCCGACCTTCAGACTCAGTTGCAACAAGAACGCCGCACCATTAACAGGCTGAGGAGCACACTCTCCGAAAGCGAGAGGAAGGAGCAGGAGTCTAAGGCCCAGTTGAACTACTTCGAGGCCCTTGTTAACAAGTATGAACAAAGAAACTATGATTTGGAAGAGCGCGAGGTGGAGCTGAGACATCGCTTGGAGATGCTGGAGAATTCCATGCCCGTCCTTCTAATGTGGAACATGTGGAGACTCATGCAGAACACAGAAATCTCCCGCGTTGAAGTCACCGACGCCATGTCCAGCGCATTAGTAAAGGCGAGCACTGGCAGCTGCGTTGGTGATAGTGACGGAAGCGTACTAAATACCTCGCTTCAATTGTCAGTTAGAAGGTGCCCTGCTTACCCTGACGTAGTTCACTCGTCCAGACTTCGAGATGTCGAACAGGAACAAGAAAAAACACTGGCAGAGCGTCATGAAACAGAGAACACATGGCGAACAACAGAAGAATGGCTTCGGTCCAGGCTTCAATTCCTAGAAGCTCAGACAGGGCTTATGAACGTAGAAATTCAGCGATATAAAGAGTCTGAAGATAAATATAAGAAGAGAATCTCAGAACTGGAAAATGAGTTTTATATCATGAAGAATGGCTCACAGGTGACAAGTAATAAAGCATCGGACCCAGCACACAAGACGAGAGCAGAGACTGAATTAAATCAGAACCAACCGATGGAGGTTAGGTCTGTCAAATGTGGAGAACTGGGATGTGAGAGAAAGCTGCAAGAACTATTACAATCTGAAGCTGACATGAAAAAACTAATCAGTGAACTTGAGACAAAGGAAAGGGCATATATGGAGACACTGCAGCAAGCAGATGAACTGTGGTCCGATATGGAAAACTCGTACAAGAAACGCATTTCTAAAGCCGAAGACAATGAGTCTATGTTGAGAGAGAAAGTTAGGAAATTAGAAGAGATCGAGACGAAACTCCGGGAGGCGTTCCAACACGACGAAGAGAATGAGATGCTACTGGAAAAGATCCAGAATATGGAGAAAAGTGGGAAGATGTTCACGGAAAAAATTCGCATACTTAAAACCGAGAAAGATCAGCTTATTGAGGAAATAAACCAGCTTCGTGACGCACTCCAGACTGTGCAAAATGAGCTGGAAGGGACAAAGAAAATGGTGGCACGTCCAATGAAAGAAGAGCTCCTGAAGGAACGCAAACTTTCTAAAACGTTACAGAACGAGATCACCAAATTGGAAAGAGAATTGCGAGACAAGTCGAACGCCCAGCAGGCACAGGTGGGTAGTGGTTGTGCCACTGAAGCAAACAATATATATATAGTGAAACCTCAGTAATTCGGAATTCGCGATAATCTGTACAGCTGTCTCCTTTCTTGTGTGTTACGACCTTGATGATCACATTGCCACGATGAAGAACACTACAAAAGTGGAACACAAACCAAAATTTATTTTCTAACACTCTTTCAGTAATACATAGGCTACTCAAGACTGATGTCAAAACTTAGATCCTTGCATTTTATGACAAACAAATCTGTTTTATGATATGCATTCTTAGTTTCAAAATGAAGTTGTATTGCCTAAAAATCAAGCGAAGACCATTTCATATCTGAGTTTGAGGTTTTCATGGCGGTGACTATGAAGAATTCCGTCTTCTGGGATGAGGCGCCGTGTAGGTATTGTGTAAACCGACGCTTCGGAGGAAGGTATCGCCTCCATCTTCAGGGTGTGAAAATACGCGGGAGAGTAACCAGCCTCAGCAGGTGGCTGCAGCTCATGCTGGTGCCTCCCTCGCGTATTTTCACACCCAGAAAATTGATGCGATACTTTCCTCCGAAACGTCGGTTTACACAATATCTACACGACACCACAACCCAGAAGACGGCATTCTTCACATTTTCAGTTGCACTTCTATAATTCGGACTTTCACTAATTTGGATAAGGGTGTGCTCCCAATTAGTCCGAATTAGTGAGGTCTTACTGTGTATATATATAAAATATATTTGCTTATAAGCAAAGCAACGATAAGGAGAATATCTCCAGCATATATGCCATGATGTAACAACTGCCGAGCCCTTATAGCTACTCAAATCACATGAAATTTGGACACGACAAAATTATAAAAAGGTCGCGGGAACGAATACCGATGAGTTGGATTTTTTTTTCAATTGACCTAATCCTTCCAGCCGCACTATGGCCCTGGGGTCGACTCAGCCTCTAACATAAATGAGTACCAGGAATATTCCTGAGGGTAAAGACAGGCAGGAGCGTAAGGCTGACAACCTTACCGCCATCTGTGAGCCGATTGTCTAAAAAATGTGAAAACCTCAACATCTCGCAAACCTCTGGGCCTCCACGGCCTGTTACAGGGATACATTTATTTATTTTTATGCTATAAATATATTTCGCATATAATTTGAAATAATTTCTTCGAGATATGTTGTTTCATTCTATTTCTTATGTGTGCCACTGTAAGAATGTCAGTTCTCATCAAAGAACGCCCTGTCCTCCTTTAGAGACGATAAGTGCAGCAGAATGGCGGAATATGTGCGCAGCGCGCATGCGCCATTGCCGCTAAGTGTTGGGCCTTCATTTTGAGGGATGAGACGCCCATCTGGATTGCCTTCTTCCACGGACGGGTTATTGAGTCATTTCTTACTAATAAGTTTTCTTTTAATTCGCTTAGTGGGGGGTGGAGTCCACCTGGGTCCACTCGGTACGGCGGCCACTGATTGGCCTATTGTAGCTTGCCCCGGGTAATTACGATGTTGTAGAATTTGGTGGAATGAAGATTGGCAGAGGAAACCGAAGTACTCGGAGAAAACCTGCCCCAGCGCCACTTTGTCCACCACAAATCCAACTTGACCAGACCCGGGATCGAACCCGGGTCGCCGCGGTGAGAAGCTAGCGACTAACCGCTTAAGCTATGCCGCGGCCTATTAATAAGTTAGCTAGAAGGCTAATCAATTATAAAGTCAGTTAATATTAGTCACTGATTTATTCCAGCCGTCTTACAGTGCATACACTCATCCACCTCACTCTCCACTCCTGCACTACATGTGCGTATGTGAGTATAACAGACGCAGTCACAGGAGCAAGACACAACACAAAGCACAATACACACACGAAAGTAGGAAGAATACTCCGATAGAAGAAGATAGGTGTGACTCGCGTATTGAGATTCGACGTAGGGATAAAAAAATCCTGAACAGTTTTAATATTTAATATTTATCAATATATATGATGAACATATATTTTAGTATGAAGACAGCAAGGCATGCAGTGAAGTAGTTTTACGTAAATCAAAAGCACCTGAAGATGGCACCTTTGTGCCGAAACATGTAGTGCGGGAGTTAGGAGTGAAGTGGATGAGTGTATGCACTGTAAGACGGCTGGAATAAATCATGGACATAAATCAGTGCAACAGGACGCTAAAATATAACATTATTAATATTAGTCACACTATCAGTTTTTTCAATGTTTCCTTCTGTGCTTTAATGCACTAATTTATTACGAAAAAATTAATGCCATAAGAAATGTATATATGTATTGAAGCCCCTACATCAATCTTATTATTTCAGATAAATGGTCTCAAAATGCAACTAAGTAAAACATCGCGAGAACTGGTGGACTTGGAGTGTACCAACGGCGAGCTGAAAGAAGAAGTGGAAACATTGGAGGTCAGGAACTCTTGTATCCTTCATTATGTTTGTATACGGGCATATTTGCACAACTGCAGAAATGCAGATGGCATCCACGCATGCGCCGGAAACTGGCTTCCTGTTTATTCGTTAAGGCTGACTTATTCATGGGTCATTTAACGGCTCAGTGGCAGGCCCTTCGAGTATTTATTGCCAATCCAGCTATTATGAAAACAAAATTTTCACGATGAAATATAACTATTTTTTTTTCATTTGGAAATTATTGATAGTTTAGCGACGGTTTATGGGCCACAGGGTTGGGGTTCGTTTCCTGGCAGGGGCAAGAGATTTTTTTTTTCCCCCACAGCATTCAGACAAGATCAGGGCCCCAACTTTCCTCTTATCCAATGGGTAACCGGAGCTATTTCCACGGGATCAAAGCTTCCGGGGAGTGAACCTGCTCACTCACCTCCATCTAGCGCCGAGGGCAAGAATGGTGACGATGTACCTCTACTTATCCACACTTCTTCGTGGCATAGTGCCCAATTAATTAAGCACAGGGACAACTTCCTTTTCTTTGTTTAATTTAGCCACTAGTTGTAAGGAACATTAATAGTGAAGCACCTTCAAATTTTGAACTGTGTGAGCTCATGTTAACCGTACACCTTTCTTCCAAATATTTTGAATGCATATGATCTTATGTCTTCTGTCCTTGTAAGACTGCATGTGGTGTTGTTTATTTTCTTTCATTTTCAACATTATTATAAATACTAATTACTTATATTCATCTCATGATTCTACAGTGATATCCACAACATTAAGCTTCGAATTTTATTGTCATTATTAAAACTCAGAGGGCAACTGCTTAATTTCCCGTCCATGTAGTTATAATTTTTTTCCCTTTGTCGGTACAGCCCCAATTTGGGCCTTGGCCTACCTCCATGAAACTCTCCATTTCACTTCGATTTACTAGATCTTAGACATTTGGTAGGATTACTTGGGCGGGTGATCAGCTCGTCGCAAGGCCTCTACCTGTACACAAACACAGAAAAGCACACACACAAACACCAAACATCCATGCCTTGAGCGGTATTCGAACCCACGATCCCGATTTCCGAGCGAGAGAAGACAGTGCATGCCTTAGACCGCTTGGCTACGGTGACCGGCGGTTTGTATTATAGTGTTTGTTATTTATTTAAGGGGGAACTCTAAATATTAAGGCACGGTCAAGGATATGGGTCTATTACATTATTACTGGAGCGTATAAGTGTTAATATTGTCTTCAGTCAAAATCGAGTTATATGTGAAAATATCGTTTTTCGGTTTACGTAGGCCAGTTACGTTTATATAAAAACATGTCTAAATGTGCTTCACAGGGATTTGTGATTGACATTGCAGGCTAAGATCTCGGAACTGAAGGCAGTTATTGAACAACAGAAGCAGAATGAAGAAAAAGTAATCATTAAAATGTCGCAGACCATCCTACAGAAAGAACAGGAGCTGGAGGAGGCAAAGCGAGAGATGAGATACTCACAGACTCCTAACGCCCAGGAGGAGCTGAACCAGGTAGACAAGTCTGTTCTGCAAGATCTCGGACGAAAGGTCATCAGGACAGAAGAAACCCTAAAACCAGAAGCATCGGTAAAGAACGACAGCAACAATTTGGCATGCATTTTCATACAAAGTGATTTAAGATTCATTATGTGCCAGTGAATAACAATTCAGAAATATATAAAATCGCTTGCAGTAACCCGGCCAATGAACTAACCTGATGTGTGTATAGAAGATAAATATGAATACCTCAGAACGTACTGAAATATATCATGTTCTTATTTTATTTATAGCTCAATAATTTATTTTAACGCAACAGTAGAGTCAAAGATATAATTCACACTGATAGTGGGAGAAAAATCGGCGTCCTGCTCTTTTACCCCACCTACAATGCATGCACTGTCTATATCGGCAGCTGTGGGAGAGGGGAAAGCAAGTTGGGGGAGATAGCAGCTAGGCAAACGGGTGGGGGGAAACCTGTGTCGATTCTTTCGTTGACTCGAATATAGTACGCCCGTCTGAAGAAACATCCATGATGTATGCATGTATATTCCTGCCGTACAAGGAAGAAACACCAATAGTGGCAGATTAGACAGACCGCCTGCTCCCCCATTTTATCCCCAGACGCCCTTCTACACCAAGAAAAAAAAATCCGAGAACTCAAAGACAGAGAGAGAGAGAGGGTAAAGCACGCCTGATGGGAGTGGCAGAAATCATGAGGAAGGGGAAATAGCCGTAGGGAGATGGGAGACAATCTGTGTTTATTCTTTCATTGATTATTGTTATATATTTTTTTTTCTTGTCACTACAGCCCGAGTGGGCTGTTCCATGAATTTCTCCGTTCAGTTCGGTTTTTCTAGATCTTACACATTCGGTAGGACACCTTGGGCGGGTGATCGGCTCGTCGCAAGGCCTGTGAGAATATAGGAAATTTTCTATGGTCAGCCCTCACTGTGCAACGAGTGTGGAGGATGACAGAAAGATCGCCTCGAGACTGGAAACGACTAATCTGCATACTAATTTCAGTACCTTGCTTTCTCGTCCGTAATTGTACGTGATTTTGTAACAATGAAAAATATCTGTCGCAGGAGCCGGAGAAAGCCAAGGAAGCGAGGCGGCAGCCCTCAGAAGGGCCACGTACAAAGCCCTGTGGGTGCAGATGCAGTTGTGAGAATGAGCAGCCTCCACCGGTTTCGGTGAGTATCAAAGCATAAAGATGCTCATTGCATAGAAGGCTTGTTGGGCTCCAAGGTTGGTCTGGCGCTGTGTACAGGCAAAAGGTAAAGTTGGGGACTGGATGTATAGATCCATATTTTCCTGACCTCGGCACTCGCTGGAGGTGAATGGTCAGTTTCACGCCCCCGCTGCTTTACCTCCGGTACCCACTGGATAGGAAGTTGGGTGGATCCCAGAAACGGTCTGGACGACATTAAGTGAAAATTCTTGTCCCCACCGGGACTCGAAATCCGACCCATTGGTCGTCCATCCCGAAGGCAGTCGCTATACCGACTGAGCTATCCCGGCTCTGGTCCATCAAGTGTAAGAAGTTTAGCAGGAGAATATAGACGTTTACCTTTACATGTTCCGGCAGGGCCGGGATAGCGCAGCCGGTATAGCGACTGGCTGCGGACTGGATGACTGAGGGTACGGAGTTTGAGCCCCGGTAGGGTCAAGAATTTTCTCCAAGTTATCCATACCGGTTCTGGGGCCCACCCAGCCTCCTATCCAATGGCTACGGGGACCTCTTTCCCCGGGGTAAGGCGGCAGGAGCGTGAAGATGACCACTCAGCTCCCACTAGTGCCTAGGTCAAGAAAACGTGGATCTATACATCCACTTTTCCATAGGCCTTTATGGCCTACTGCTTGATTAGTAAAGCGCAGGGACAAGTTTACCTTTTACTTTACATGTAGCGCCCACTGCTAGCCAACATCAGAAGGCGTAACAAGTGTCATAAAGAAATATTTGACATGCGTTTGAATGTGGGTTGTACTAAAGGAATGGAGATCGATAGGTTACTTCGGGCAAAATACCTTATGGATGTTTAAAAGTAATTAGTTAAAGGAAGTTGATAAATTGAAGGTCTTGTTGCGTAAGTAGAGGAACATGACCTCGTTTTCTACCTTTGGTTATGTAGTATATTTACAGGTTTTGCGATTTTGGCCTTACGTCCATTTGCCGCGGCGGTCCGGGTTCGATACCGGGTCTGGTCAAGTGGGATTTGCGGTGGACAATGTGGCGCTGGGGCAGGTTTTCTCCGAGTACTTCGGTTTCCCCTGCCAATCTTCATTCCACCAATTGCTCCACAATCACCCTCACCTATCATCTGAGGCTGGTACAATAGGCCAGAAGTGGCCGCAGTACAGGGGACTTAGTCCCATCCCACTAGCAATAAAAAAAATACGTCCGTTTGTGTTGTGATTATGCAATCCGGTGACGCACTCGTACGTTGTAGAATACGGCACGTGGTGTGGTGGATTGACAGTGACTGAATTGAGAGAGAATAAACGTGATTGAAAATAAGCAAACGTGGTTTGCTGATGTACAAGGGAGAGACAGCAAATAGGTCACAAATGTATATAAAACCGACTAGAAGATGTGATATTCGAACCTGGCAAAAACATTTATTTCTCGACAAATCCTAGAGAGAGTTGTGAAACGTTTTACGCGACAAACACTTCCTACCGTAAATATGAAATATTTCTTTAAGAATATCCTTTGCATTGAGTCCTTTTGGCCACAAGGAAACGCATAAGAGACCTCTGCTTTTCGGTGGTACACTCCTGAAGCACGGACACCATTTTGACCACTGAAACCAGTCTCTGAATATGCCCATGCGCGTCTGCTACCTAGACTGTACTGCTACCTAGTGGTACACATAGAGAACATATTACACCCATTACAGTTGTTTTACTTCCATTTGTTTCCCATTTACTTACTCTCCCTCGTAAAACTATTGTTAGACAGGTCTTAGTGCTTCCCTTCTTGATTATTTTCTCACCACACAGTCTGCTGAATGTACAATGTCATAAGAAGTGTACGACTCTCACTGAAACTCTGAAAATATTGGCAGACGACGAAGCAGAAGCCGGTCCTGAGGAGGTGGCTGCTTTCACAGACACTGCAACCGAAGGAGTCTAGCCATTGGAGACATTGCTGACGCCGGAAGTGGTGGGGGAACTGGGGCCGGAAGATGCTACACACACGCAACAGTTACAGGAAATCATGTTGGGAAGTGCATAAAAACAATTGGAAATAATGAGCCTACAGGACTGACACAGACAGGCGGTGAGTTTATGATGTTTACATGCACTTCCCATGAACTCTACAGCAGACAGATACACGTTCCTAGCCAGCTGATGAACACATCTGACATAAATAAGATCTAAAACTCTGCTACGATTTTATATTAATAAAATTATTGACTTTGTGGACAATATCCATCGTCTAGTTTTCTATTTGAAAAACAACGTTTCAGACACTGGACTCTGTCCGGAGATAGGGACTAGCTTCATCGATTTGGCCCAAGTGAGTAGGTTATTATCTATAGAATTTTTCCGTATTACCTTGGGACGAATGCCATGAATGTACGCTCCAGGGCACCACTACAGTTTCTTGCACCCATCTTCAAATTTGTGATTCATTATCACTGATTTATCTCATTCAGTGCTCGGTAATCTCTGCACTTTGCTCTACATCGTTACAGCAATATAATTATTTGTGGAAAGCGGCCCGCTAGAGCAACCGGGAAACTAAAACACTAAATCAGGAATCATATTGTCTACAAGCTACAAAGTCCTTAATATATATATATACCACGTATATATATAAATATGTGTATATATAACTATGTATACTATATTATATTATGCTGATCACAGTTGTTGAATGATGTAAGGCATGAACCGTCTTCGCCCATTCGAACACTGGGATCGTGGTTTCGATTCCCATTCGAAGCATGGATGTCTGTGTGCTTTTGTTCTGTGTTTATGTTGTTCTCTATGTAGGTGGCGGTCTTGCGACGGGCTAACACCCCCCTCCCCCCCGGTCCAAGGAATCCTACCGAATGTATATAGAGAAAGAAACTGAAAAAGCGGTCAAGGTCCACAAGGGCTGTAGAGCGATAGATAGATAGACCTCAAATCTTACATAGATATATAGGGGACTGATAGTGACTGATTTGTTCCGAACTGCTTTTGACGTTAAAATTTCAGTCCAATGTTAATGGAGGCAATATGTTTCGCAGTCTCTCGAAGTTCTGGAGCCTGAAGAAGGCCGTGTCAGACCTGCAGAGAAAGGTGGACGGTGACGGAGTATGCCTCATCTTTTCTCCTCCGTTAACGATATGGAGGACAGCTCCTTGTCCAACACTGCCCTGGAACTGCAAAATATGATGACAGCGCTGCAGAACAGTCTCGCTCTAAGGACAATATTACCATGGCCCTTGCGAACTATCTGCGCATGCGCCCTGGCGCGGAGGAATGTACGTCGCTTTACACCCTTTACACTGAGTCCCATCTTCTAGATCTGTTAAGGGATGTCGACAGCAGAGAGCTCCCTCAGTATCTCAAGAGTTCTGTGCGAGATGTGAGTACTGAGTCCCAACAAGTAGAGCAAGCGTCACCATACCTCCCTTCCTCATACGGATTAGGCTGAAGCCTGTTCCGATATCATAACCATACGTTGAATATCTCCTTATATGTTTACATCCCGCCCATCACAGTGGCCGCGCGCGGTCTAGGGCATGAACCGTCTTCGACCGCTCGAACACTGGAGTCGTGAGTTCGAATCCCACTAAAGGCATGGATGTCTGTGTGAGTTTATTTTATGTTTATGTTGTTCCATGTGTAGGTAGCGGCCTTGCGACGGTCTGATCCCCTTTCCAAGGAGTTCTAACGTCTGTGTATAGGATTAAGAAATTGAAAAGCGGTCAAGGTCCAAAGGACTGCAGTCATAGAAAGAAAGAGACAAAGAGAGATGTTTATATCACTTTGGTTTGTATCCAAGTGCTCAGAGTCTGTTATTGCCCAGCATGGGTTTAACTGTTCCTGCCTCTAAAAATATCTTCTTCCATATAATAGACAAATATTTTACCTCCTTTATATACTACACAGTACGTCAACAATGCAATAAGTTGTTCCTTTTGTCTTGCACTTACAATTTCGACCCTTGTTTCGGCCCTAAATGGCCATCTTCAGGTGCCTTACTATGCTAAAACTGCTACATTGCTCTAATATTGTCCATTCGACGCACTTGCAACTGCGCGCTTCATGGTTTAAAACGTCATACTCGTAGTCAATTGGTATGCGCTAAAATAGCACACCCTGTAGTGCACTTAATTTAAATCAATAAAATTTGTTATTGAAATTTTCTTTAAATTTTGTAAAATTCTTATTACACCTCACAAGGGGCGTCGTGCACTTGGTTTGATTTGTATTCTTTTCTTCAGATATTTTATTTCGGCAACCTGTTTTTCTATTCGTCAGCCCATTGTTGTATTACGTCTGCAATCTGTAATATTGCCCCTTGCTTGTGCGTTATCCCCTCTAGTAGCGTGTGGTGTTGTCTTCACTTGTTGTTTAGCTCCTTCCATATATGTTCCTTTGTAATTTCTGTCTAATATACTACGAGTATATTGCTTGGCATTTACAATTGTACTTCCCCCATTTAATATTCCTTGTCTTACGAACGTGTAAAGTTACCTTCAGTCAACCAGCTGCCAGTAAATCATACTGTAAGGCCGCGCCATAGCTCAAGCGGTTAGTTGCTGGCTTCCCACCGCGGCGGCCCGGGTTCGATCCCTGGTCTGGACAAGTGGGATTTGTGGTGGACAAAGTGGTGCTGGGGCAGGTTTTCTCCGAGTACTTCGGTTTCCCTTGCCAATCTTTATTCCACCAATTGCTCCACAATCACCCTCACCTATCATCTGGGGATGATACAATAGGCCAGAAGTGGCCGCAGTACAAGGGACTCAGTCCCGCCCCACCAAGTAATAAAAAATCATACTGTAACGAGATACAGTCTGACCAAGTTTCTGGAGAGTACGACGCCCACCAAAGGAGATACCCTGCCGTTGAAGATCACTGTTTTGTCCTTACGTCATTGTATCAGTTTGCAATAATTCGTAGATTAGTACCGGATGGATAACAGCTGAGCTCTTCACAAATAATAGTTATTTTTCCCCAATTGATAATTAAGGGAAACATAGTTTGTTCATGTAAGATTTGAGGTTGCTTGTACCGGTTCTCACGGTCTCTTCACTTGCGGATTTCTTATTTTTCCTTCTACCCTGAAGATGGAGGCGATACGTTCCTCTGAAACGTCGTTTAACACCACATGTGCACGGTGCCATATCCCAGAAGACTGCTTTCTTCATAGTATGATCATCCTTACCTGCCTACGAGTTTGTTGGCCGCGGTTCGATTACTCGTTGTCACGTCCATAATCAAGATAATCAAGCCGAGACCCACCCAGGCTCCTGCGAAATGGGCCCAGGGCCCTGTGTCCCTGAGAGCAATGTGACCAGACCCTGAAACTGAGCACTCGTCTTCATGTAATTCGGAGGTTAAAAATGAATTAATCCGTAGGTTTACTTCTCTCCCACGAGTCTTCATAAGGTAGTTCGTAACCAACTACAGGGACAACTTTATTTTTAGCAGACTACCTCCAGAACTAAAACCTAAATCCGAGGAACTGCTGACATTAATATTCATAGGTTTATGTCCAACAGGCGGTGACTTGGTCTGTCCACCTCTTGACGCCATGATCACGCTGACGGTGAAACCGAAGGGTCAAGATGGAGGCGCCGTGGCATGACCTCAGACACCAAGGCATTCCACATCATGACAGGACCCTCAACCTCGCGGAGTTCAGAGTTCCCTTGGCATGAATCAGTCTTCAGGTTTTACTCGTGTGGGACCAGACAGCTTGCTGTTTGGATGAGATGTGCCCTAGGAAGTCATATCTAGGGCTTTGAGGTAACGTGCTGGAGGTACTCAAGGCAGTTCAGTCAGGCTGGAGGATCAAGGTTCTGCTCCCGAGAGGTGCACAGATTTATCCTTTGCCACCGTGTCCAGACTTTCTCTGAGGACCATCCAGCCTTCTGTGTAGTGGATGCCACAAATTCCTTCCCTGGGCGTAAATCAATCAGATCATGAAGCTGACCGTTGCTGTCTGTGCAGAACAGAGGTTAAGAATGCAGCTTGCCGTCCAACACTTCTGAACATGTATAGGGAGTGTTACAGCTAAGAAACTGTGCCGATTTGCGGAGGCTTGAACACGTGTCCGTGTTTCAGATTTTTTGTGCACAAAGTTTGAAGTCAATTCCTCAACAGGGCTCTCATGCAGCTTCTGGATCCCAGTTGTGAGATCATAGCGAGTGTTCGCGCTTACCTCTCGAGGAAGCTCTTCCGAAACAGCCCGATTCGTTCGTACGGGAAACGGAAAACGAGAAGGAGGTTATGAACATGCAGTATAAATGGCATTCCCCTCGTGGACCCCACCACGAGTACGAAATACGTCTGAAAAATCTAGTCCACTGTAGATAATTGAATATCGACCACGAAAATACGATGAGAGATTTTTCCTATTTTTATACGAATTTGTAATTAAATTGTCGTGTATATATTAGACTTAGCTGTTTACTGCCAGCACAGACTGGAACCCATGGACATTACATTACTGCATTATATATATACATATGTGATCTGTATTAAATATAGCTTTATAAACATACTAGTGATTTATAACATCAGATAATTACAGTCATTATAACTTCAGAATTTAGCTCTAATTTTAACGACTAAGCATGTGTGTTTCTTAGTTGAATTTTGTACAACATATCAATTGTTTCTGTGCCACATTATTGTTACAGCGAAAGACGTATAATAAAGTTACAGTTTCATCATACGCCGAGTAAAGAAAATATTACCTGTTTCATTTTAAGTTTCTGTCATCCACATTCTTGTTATCATTACTCGATCCCTGACTCAAACATAGACTGGCTTCCCACCGCGGCGGCCCGGGTTCCATCCCGGGTCTGGTAAAGTGGGATTTGTGGTGGACAACGTGGCGCTGGGGCAAGTTTTCTCCAAGTACTTCAGTTTCCCCTGCTAATCTTCATTGCACCAATTGCTCCACAATCACCCTCACCTATCATCTGGGGCTGGTACAATAGGCCAGAAGTGGCCGCAGTGCAAGGGACTTAGTCCCAACCCACTAACAATAAAAAAATAGGGCTATTGAATGTTTGTTGGGTCGGAAAGGTGCCGGTCAATGAGACGCGCTTCCTGTCCCTTGCAGCTACAAGACTGCGATCTGCTTAGATAATACGTGTACATTTCATTTGGTAAAAGTAAAGTAAAGCTAACCCTGTAACAGGCCGTGGAGGCCCATAGGGTTGTGATACGTCGAGGCTCCCACATTCTCTAGACAATCGGCCCACAGATGACGGTGAGGACGTCAGGGTTATGCGCCGGCCGCCCTTTACCCTCCAGGACTATTCCTGGTACTCACTTCTGGCAGAGGCTGAGTCGACCCCAGGGCCTACATTTCAGTTGGTAAGTAAATTATAAACGCCATTGGGTAATTTCAAATTTTAAGCTGTATCTAGGTCAAGATTTCAGTAAACCATCAGTTCTCAAATTGTATTTGATCTTTATTGTTATAAAATTATTTTTATTCACAAGAACATGATATAAATTGTTTGTTTCAGTTACAGCATTTTTATTCTGTATTTAAATATATATTTTAATACAACATTAAGACCAAAAGATGTTCACTGTAGTCTGTTCCTTCGACTACAAGTGTGATATCATCGAATAATCACACAGGGATGACATGTTCCCGGGAGAAGGAAACTGGGATGACATCTGAGACAGTTAGGATTTCGACCCTCGGTAACTAAAGCATCGCTCCGGAAATGCATAACGCTTTGATTGCCATTGTCTGCAGTAAGTGGTACACTGATGAAGAGCAATGTCACGTTTCCTGTTTGGAAATCGTAGTTACTTGATTCTGTTCTATTCTTGTCCGACTCTGGAATAAAGAACATTCGGCGAGGGTCCAACAGATGAATTTGTACAGTGTTGTTCAAATCATATTTACTCTCATCTACGCTGATATTTACCCGAGGTGTGGTTGTTTCTTCTGTATTCTGAGGCATTGTTGTTGAGTTTGATACCGTAAACGTCTTTGTTAGGTACTGAAGAAAGGAATTATTAGTGTAAACAGCAGGAACTTTATGTTGTGTGAAACTGGCTGGCATGTCTTCTACTTCGGAATTTCCAAAACGGACAGAGACTTCATTTGTTTCTTTAGTTGATAACTGCTGGGACAAGATCCTTGTGGAGGAGAACTTAAGTTTTGAGAGATCTTCTAATTCGTCTGACGTCTGTGACATCGTGAAGTTTTGATCATCTTTCAACTTAGCAGTATCGTTGTTTGGACTTCGCGAAGTATCAAAATGCATTAAAACAGATGTCATATTCTGTGGGGTTGGCGGCGTGGTTCTCAATAAGAGACTCTGGAAGAAAGGATTATTTGTGTAAGCGAGAGGAAGCGCTCGGGACCGTGCAGAAGAGTTCGAGTCCATTGTTTCAGTTAGGTTTCCGGAATCTGATATTTGAGAACTCGCTGTTTGTGATTCTGTTGTGTTGATATCTCTGTTTCGTGCTATGCGATTGGCCGTTGAATGAGGTTCTGTCGATGTAATCTTCGATGACTGATCCTCTTGAATTCGGTCCATCAGACGGCCGTTGTATGAAACTGTATTGTTAATTGGTGCCGAATTTTGTTGCATCTGATTTATGACTTCAGGGAACCAATTCAATCGCTGTAGAGAGCCCAAGTTTTGTAGTATTGTGAAGATATGAACTAAAAATTAAGAAAGAAAACATTATTTTACTACTAAAAATTTAAAAACTATAATTTTGCGTAAGATTTTCACGGCGGTGAATATGAAGTACCGTATTTACGCATGTATAGGCCGCGTGCGTGTATAGGCCGCAGCACAATTTTCAGACAGAAATTATAGAAAAAATAATTTTCTTGGAATATTATTTCAGGAGTAGAACACCCTGTATTACTAATTATGAATATAATTTTTTTTAAATGAAGTGTGATTTCGAATATTTCGAATATAAGCCGAACCCCAGTTTTCTTCTTGAATTTTTGGCAAAAAATGTGCGGCCTATACATGCGTAAATACGGTATGTTGTCTTCTGGGATGTGGCGCCATGTAGATCTTGTGTGAACAGACGTTTCGGAGGATACGTTCTGTTCACACAAGATCTACACGGCGCCACATTCCAGAAGTCGAAATTCTTCAATTATAACTTGTGGACTTATGTGGGTGTGAAACTTGGTGTCTGTTAGTAAGGGATGAACATAGATTGAGGATATCAGGGGACAGGGTGCTGAGGAGAAATTTTGGACCAAAGTCAGAGATTAAAAATGTAGATCTACACAAATAAATTACCAAGCTACAGAATGGTATACCAGCTGATTTCTGAAGTAGTAGGCCGTAAGGAAACACAGTACCGGGCTCGCGATGGTGTAGGTGCTCATCCGGGCCGACAAAAGGCTTGTCGCGCTGTCCGATCAACTGGTTAGCGCCATAATCTTGCTCAGAGGTGTTGCAGTTCACCATGTACCAGTGGTCACAGATCATCATGCGCTGCTGGAAGAGGGTCATTTTGGGACAGGCGTTTGTGTAGCGTCGCCCTTCCAAGTCACACATGTGGTACAGCTGCCAACAGATGATTACATTACTTCAGTGTGCTCTTGGAAGTAGGAACCATCCAATGAAAAATAACTTAATATAAATAATACAGTTGCCGGTCACGGTAGCCGAGCTGTCTAAGGCATGCACTGTCTTCGCTCGCTCGGAAGCCGGGATCGTGGGTTCGAATCCCACTCAGGACATGGATGTTTGTGTGCGTTTTTCTGTGTTTGTCTACAGGTAGAGGCCTTGTGACGAGCTGATCACTCGCCCAAGGAGTCCTACCGTATGTGTAAGATCTAGTAAACCGAAGTGAAACGGAGAGTCATGGAGGTAGGCCTAGGCCCAAATTGGGGCTGTAGCGCCACAGGAAAAAAAATACAGTTAAAGACAATTTAAGAACAAGCAACAACAACAAAATAACAGTGTCAGAAGATACATAAAACGCAAGAAAGTTTTCAGAGAATAATATTTAAACATCTACAGTTTTAACGTATGAGTATTTTGTCATTATGACTGTATAACTTATATACTACGAACCTTAGGAACCTTAAATCGAATTCCTTTTAGTGTTATGCCTCCGAAGATGGCACCGAAAGACCGAAAAAATGTAAGGTCATATAAATTTCTAAATTATATTTATATTAAACTAGATTACATCGGATAGCTTGCCAATCTAGGATTAATGCAGATGTAACGGTGAAAATTCCTCATATTTGAAAGGTTTCTGATTCAATTTTAACATCCTTTATCAAGATAATAGAAATTATTTTCATTTTTATGATTTGATCTTCAATATAACACCCGAAATATCTAATTTCATAAAGAAGAGTCATGCTTAAGTAGCTTATAGTCACTTACTTACTCGCAGTTAATATATTCTCCCGTGCTCATGAAAACCTGCCAATGGGTCAAGTTCTCTGTTACTTTAATCCGTTAAGTCCTGTTTCTTTCAAGAGAAACTTTAATATTATGACCCGACCTACGTCTGGATCTCCCAAACTGTTTCCTCCCTTCAGGCTTGCCTATCAAATTATTGTACGTTTTTCTTCATGAAACATATGCCTCATCTTGTCTTCCTTCATTTGTTCAAGCTTTCTGATGATGAAGCTCTTGAACACCGTTTCTTACGATTGACTGCCTAAAACTTGTTTTAACAACTTATTTAGAAATTCGTTAGCCGACATATTTCGGCTCGTCAGCCGAACAGGTACTAAAGATGGCTGACAATCCGAAACACGTCTGCTACTGGATTTATGAAAGCATTCTGATAAGTTCTGATGTCCCCTCGTTGATGTCTCCACCTTATCGTGGTGAGGGGGTTTGAATATGCCAAGGACCCTGAGAGCTATACCAGCGGTAGCGTAGCTACTGGCAGGGCCTCCCTTGCTGGACAGATCAAAGGGTAGGCATCAGACGAAGAGAGACACCAAAAACCAAAAACTGATGCCAGAAGCAGCGTCATCAGCAGCGACTTGAAGCACAGAGCAAATGATGCTCGAGATGGTTCAAGTTCGTATAGCAACAGGCGTGACCAGAGTGGTTTGAACGGCTGTTGTACTGCGATGTGGAAAGCAAATGGAAAAACCACCACATTATAACTTTTCCTGGATAGTCTCTTTCCAAAAACAGAGATACCATGTATGCGAGATTAAACTGGAGAGGCGGATAGAAGTGCCCAGAAGACCAGGAAGAAGACGTAAGAAGATGCTGGATGACCTTGGAGACAGAGGAGGATAATTTTAATTGAAGGAGAAAGCTTGAGATCGCATTAAGTAGAGGAACTGTTTTGGAAGAGACTGTGGACCTGTCGTCTGACAGATTACTGATGAATGAATGAAGTGTTGATGGCAAATTAAAAACGTAGTGTTGATAATACAAGCCACGGACATGAATTTAACCAAGATCTATGAAGCTTCTCATTATGGGGCTCTTCCCATGCAGTACGGCAGTGGGCTGAGGTCTCTGAAGAACATGGATTGTTACTGCGGTGCGCCTGGACATGCTGCAGCAGGGAGCTACTTGCTGCTCATCCGGCCAGAATAACAAGAGCAGGGTGACGTCAAGACAAACCGGCAGCTGTCACACTCGTCACTGTATGCAAAATTGTGTGGGGCATGATACAGGGGACGGCGGGGTAGAGGGGGAAGGTAGGAGAAAGTACATGAAGTAGTACACTAAAGAGGAGAAGACTATGAAGAAAGAAGAAGAAAAAATAGCATAAGAAGGGGAGAAGAATCGAGAAATAATTGAGAAAATATGGTATGAGGAGAAAGAAAACAAGAAAAGGAATAAAGGGGATAAAAGGGAACGAAATGAAGACGATAGAAAGGGATGAGGAAAGAAATAAAAAAGATTTTAAAAAGAGGAAGAGGGGGAAGGAAACGTATGGAAAGGAGTAGAGTAAGAAAAGGGAAAAATGAAGACTACAGAATAGGAATATGAAAGAAAAAGAAGATTACGAAAAGAAGGTGAGGAGGAAGATAAAAGTGCAGGGAAGAGAAGAAGATTAAAGTGGATGAGAAAAAGGATATGTGGAGACGATAAAGGAGGGAATATAAATAAGTTTATGTTGGTATGCTCATTCCATTCCTATATTATTCCGAAAATCATCACCAAAATTGACTTGGGCCTGAAATAGTTATGTGACACGCTCAATTGATTCCGTTCATTTATCGTGGCGATGTGGGCACAACACGCACATAAAAGGATCTCCGACAGTTGTCCTTGTCTTGAGCGAAGTTCGGACCCAATATGGTAACAAGTATGGGCCATATGTTGAAAGTTCGGGTACCTTTACCTGAACGCTAGAGAACCTTACCTGACAGCCAGAGCTGATGTCTGCATAGTACCCAGCTAAACGTCCCACGCAGGAGAAACTAGTTCGATATCCGGCTGGTGTCTCAACTCCATGGTTAGGTGCATCTCCCTGAAGGAAATGACAAAATGCAGAATGTTTCAGCATCAGCAGCTTCGTGACATTATTATTTACATACACGTACCCACCGCGGCGGCCCGGTTTCGATCCCAGGTCTGGTCAAGTGGGATTTGTGGTGAACAAAATGGCGCTGGGGCAAGTTTTCTCCGAGTACTTCGGTTTCCCCTGCCAATCTTCATTCCACCAATTGCACCACAATCACCCTCACCTATCATCTGGGGCTGGGATTTGTGGTGGACAAAGTGGCGCTGGGGCGGATTTTCTCCGAGTACTTCGGTTTCCCCTGCCAATCTTCATTCCACCAAATTCTCCATCATCATAATCACTCTGGACAGGTTACAATAGGCCAATCAGTGGCCGCCGTGCCGAGTGGACAGAGGACTTCACCCCCCCCCCACTAAGCGAATTTTACATGCGAGTATTTAATTGGCATGATAACAATTGTTGACTGTACAAGGAAATACACTGAACGTTCGAAGAGGATGACGGATAACAGACGCCATAAATTTTCTTGACACGTATTATCGATAGACATGAAAGGATTCTGACGATGGTGTATACACTACTTCTTTTGGTTTATTTTGGACTTCACCCATCGTCTGGTATGTGAAAGACAAAAAACCAGTCCAGTGATTGAGACTAGCTCTTTCTAAGGGGGCCAACTGAGTAGGTTTATCCTTCCCTATCCACCTGAAGACGGAGACAGATCCAGTCTCCGAAACTTCGTGATTTTTTGTCTTTCACATACCAGACGATGGGTGAAGTCCAAAATAAACCAAAAGAAGTAACGTATTATCGAGGTTATTTCTTGTAAATAGCTATGTATCACAACAATTTCCTTATAAATCCGACAGTTTGTATATAGGCTGCCTTGGTTAACTCCACCTGAAGTTTTAACCCTTTAAACACTGTGGCTGTGCATACCACGAGACTTTAATATGAAAAACTCTGAAATCTGATCACAAAGTGCATTTATGTGTTTCAAATGGCTGTGAGAACAAAACGGTATTTGTTCTTTCTCTCTAACTGCATTAACTAACTGGTCTTCACATCTGGAGACAGCGCGTTTCTTGTGAGATACGAACTGCGTCTTCAAATATTCGTGCTTCACTTTCAAAGTATACAGCTCAACATTATTTCAGATAATTAGATAATCAACATTTCGAGACCCCTGTCTCAAGCCACTGCTTCTAACTATCCTGACGTCTTCATTTTTCATAAAAAAAATGGTGCTCTTTCTCCCCCCCAAAGTAAAGTACCTCTCACTTTTCCCACAACTTTTCATTTTCACAGTCTCTTCTACTATATTTTGTTAGCAGGGATAGCTCAGTCGGTATGACGACTAACTACGGCTGGACGACCGAGGGGTCGGAGTTCGAGTACCGGTCAAGAATTGTCTCTTCTCCACGTAGTCCAGACCGACTCTGGAATTCACCCAACTTCCTACGCAATGGGTACCGGGAGCTCTTTCCCTGGAGGTAATGTGACCGGAGCGTGAAACTGACCACTCACCTCCAGCTAGTGCCGAAGTCAAGAAAATGTGGATCTGTACATCCATTCCCCCATACGCCTTCATGGCGTAGTGTCTAATTAATTAAGCACAGGAACAACTTTAACTTTTTCACCTTCCACTATATTTTATACCTCTCTCGTTTACGTGCTTAAAAGTGTGGGATGTATGGGAACTTCTTCCCTCGAACATGTATCCCGTCACACGAAACTGCACTGGACATTGAGGAGTCGGGATAGCGAATAGTTGCGTGCTGGATGGCCGGGTGTGAGTCCCGATAGGTACAAGATTCCTCTTCTCTCCACGTCTTCCAGATCGGCTCTGGGGTCCACTGAGTCTCCTATCGAATGGGTAACGGGGGCTTTTTTTCCCAGGGGTAAAGCGCCAGGGGCGTTAAGCTGACCACTCACCTCCAACTAGTGCTGAGGTTAAGAACACGTGCATCTGTACATCCAAAGCTCCAGAGGTCATCATGGCGTAGGGCTTACTTAATTAAGCACAGAGACAACTTTAACTTTACACAGTAAATTGTTCGCGTAATGCATTTCTCAGACTGTTACCTTGTCATCGGCCTGTTGAGCAATGCCCTGTTGCACTAACAGGATCAGCAGGAATACGGCGGCTATTCCGTGAAGATGACACCGCAGGGCCACGGGATCGAGGCTTTGAAACCACAACATTCCACGGTCAGAGGAGTTCATTACCTCTTTCGCGTCTTCCCTCCAGTGAGAACATCCTGTGCAAACTTGGAAGAAAATATCCCAGTAAGAGAAGCATCGTGAAGATGATGGAACTTAAATGCTGCATGCGCGTGTAGGAAGAATGGCAGATCGACTAAACAAGGCAAAATCCTGCCACTCACTCGATGCATAACTGTAAATGTTGGAGACACTGAAATTATGGTAGTTACAAGAGACCTGTGAAGCAACTGAAACAGGGAGTACGGAGCAAAGGGTACTGGAAATAACTGACAGTTAACGGGGAAAAATTAGGGAAATCTGAAATAGGTAAAATGTGGGATAGACCTAAGTCATTGAAATATCGAACTGAATATCTGCAAAATCATCAGGGCAAATGCGCTAATAATTATTTAAATTGACAAGTTGCTTCATCTGCAAACACAGCGTTCCTTGGACTAAGTTGTGGACATAACAATACATAAAGTACTGTAAAACGAGGTAAATATAAAACAACATACAAATTTTCTGTTTGTTTTGAGACTTTTCAGACTATCTGTACATTATAATCAGATAAGATATAACTGTCATATAGAAGTATGTAATAAACTCAGTGAATTTAGTCCGCAAGCGAACTATACCGACCGAGTCACCGCCGCTTGTTGGCGAAGTTTAGTGCCAACTTTTGCTGATAGAGAATGTCGCGTGGTCAGCGCAACGAATCCCCACGGTCGTTAATTTCGGTTTTCTAGACCGGAGCCTCTATTTCCTTAAAATAGCTCCTCAATTATCATCACGAGGCTGAGTTGACCACGTTCCTGACCCACTACATTTCAGAAAGAATCTGGTAGCGCCGGGAATCGAACCTGGACCTCTTAATATGTATCCAGGAACGCTGACCACTGGACCACAGAGGGTATGTAATACTTATGGAAATGTGTCAGTTCAGACGTCACGCCTTGCATTTTGTTGCCTTTCTAAAGAAAAAAATGTGTGGGTCATTGCGAATGTTGGTGATATTTTAATACTTCATTCGTCTATTCTGTTCTACATCCTCCTTGAGGCCGTTCCATAGCTCAGGTGGTTAGCCGCCGACTTCCCACTGCGGCGACCCTGGTTCGATCCGAGTTAAAGTCATGTGGATTTTGCAGTGGAAATAGTGGCACTAAAGAAGGCTTTCTACGAATACTTCGGTTTCTCCTGCCAATTGGCATTTTACCGTCTACTCCACCTTCATCATCATTATCTATCAACCGGCGCTGGTACAAGGCCAAATAGTGGCCGATGTACCAAGTGGACTCAGTCTCGCCCCACCCCAAGAAATTTAAAAAGAAAGTAATTACTGCCTCCTTACTAATACTCGGTGACGATCAACTGTCAGGTCTTTCTGGCGGTAATTGAAACGCATAATTAATTTGGAGCGCAAATGGACTATTCTGTATGACTGTGAAACTTGGTCTTTCATCACAGGAGATGAAGTTAGGACGTTTCGGAACAGGGTGCTGCGGACATTATTTGATCCTAAGTGAAATGGTGCCGGTCACGGTAGCCGAGCGGTCTAAGGCATGCACTGTCTTCGCTCGCTCGAAAGCCGGGATCGTGGGTTCGAATCCCACTCAGGGCATGCATGTTTGTGTGCGTTTTTCTGTGTTTGTCTACAGGTAGAGGCCTTGCGACGAGCTGATCACTCGCCCAAGGAGTCCTACCGTATGTGTAAGATCTAGTAAACCGAAGTGAAACGGAGAGTTTCATGGAGGTAGGCCTAGGCCCAAATTGGGGCTGTAGCGCCACAGGGGAAAAAAAAGTGAAATTGTGGAATAGAAGGCTGGAGAAATTTACATAACAGGCCGTGGAGGCCCAAAGAGTTGTGGGACTTCGAGGTTTCCACATTTTCTAGAGTCTAGAGTCACGATTGTCTAGAATCTAGACAATCGTTTCACAGACTGCGGTGAGGTAGTCAGCCTTACGCGCCGGCCGCGCTTTACTCCACAGGAAAGTTATTTAATTAATTCCTGGTACTCATTTCTGTTAGAGGCTGAGTCGACTCCAGGGACATAGTGCGGCTGGAAGGGTTAGGTCAATTGAAAAAATTCAATGACCTCATCGGGACTTGAACCCGTGACCTTCCGGCTTGTAGCATAGTACCTCCGGTACTACAGAATGTAAATTATAACGGACCCAATACAATATTCAAGTATGCACATGTTTAATGGTAATTACAGTGATCAAAGAGGATCATGTGGACAACACATGTATCACGCATGGGGAACATACAACGCATACAAAACTGAAATCGGAAATCTTGAAACAGACACACCACTTGGGAGAGCGAGGAGTAATTTTGGGGATAATTTAACGACGTTATATGTAACCAGACTGTATGGAGCAAAGCTCATTAAGTGGGAGGGATCTGGAAGGAAACGATCATGGTTTAATCGAAGTACTATCCAGGGATTTGGCTGCAAGAACCGAGGAAAACCTCAAAAAACCTCAGTCATGATCAGTCTTGATCAAGACTCGAACCGAGTACCTCCAAAGTACAAGTCTAGAGAGTTAACTCTAGCCCGTCCCTTCCATATGTGTACATGGAAGGACAATGTTAGGATGAAACGTGAATAAATAGGGCGTGAAGATGTGGCCTGGCTCAGGATCACACCAGCGAAAAGCTTTCGCAAACACGGCAATAAATTTTTGGGGTCCGCAGAAGAAGAAACTTTTGACTAGCTGAGTAAGTATCGACTTTTGAATAACTCTGGTCCATGAAGTTAATGTCTTCATAAATTACATTAAGACCAATGAGAGATACAGACTAAATCCCGAGTGCCTCTTTTCAAATCCTGTCTTTGTAGGCTGCAGTCGTTTGCTCATCTGTGCTTCAGATGGTCATAGCGCCACAGAAAATTCCATACAGTGTATGTAGGCCGGACTGGGTGGAAGAATACAGCATGTCTGGAGCCTAGCGCGGCGTGCTGGAGGGTGGCAATGCTAAAAGTGAAAGGCCATCCACATCGTGTGCATTTACTCGCTGCCAAGAGCAACGCCCTCCAAAGACACAAGAGAAAAACGTTACGATACAAATCGAGAACAAACGTAACCTGAAAACAGCGTAAAACTCGTACAGACTATTACGTAACATGAGTCTGTTTCTCATGGCCGTTCCTTATAATTCCTACTGTAAGTTATACGGTCGTTAAAACGTGAAGTTGATTCAGGTCACGTCTCGTTCATGCATGAAACAGTCCCATGTAATTAGAAATAGCGTGTCTTAAACGTTTGTTGCCTCAAAAGATTCGCTTTTAGAATTACCTGTTTCATACCTGAAACTCCATTGTTTCAATCTAAAAGTTGGTTACATTTTAAAAGTAAACAATTGAAGACATGAAAAAGAAAATGCGTTACAGTTCTAAGAACAATTACGTTGCTGAGGGACATCGCTATTGAATGTTGATTCTCTATGTAGGTACAGTACCCAATATATTGCGGCTATCCCATGCTGTTGTTAGCGCTACAAACCGATTCGTTCTAGTCTCATACACATTTCCTAAATCCTTACTAAGCGAAGCTGCGACTGACGGAAGGAACAGATGATCACGTGGTCTCTACCTATTCAGATTTATACAAGAAATTCTGGGAAGAACTCGTCGCCTACTTTCCTTTGATACAACACGGACTGCATAGAAAACGACACCTCTAACAATTCTTCGTTGCAGTGGGAAAGTCTTCATCAGCTGTTACCTAGCAACGATAGGGGGATACACAGGCAGACATAGAGACAAGTGCGCCCAAAAATTCTTCTATTTTTGCGTGATTCGTTGCTGCGGGGAACCGTTTACCGATCCGTTGCCTAGCAGTCAAAAGAGGGGAGACAATTTGCCAAACCTCTGCCTAGCAACAATAGGAGGGATAGACATACAGACACAGAATGATGGATGGCGTAATCTTCTATTAGAAGAAAAGCCGGCCCCAGTGGACAAGAAACCTGAGGGCGAACAACAAGAAGAGGTCCCTGTAGACGACGTCGCAGTGATACCGGTCAGTGAACCTACAGATGAATTGATGCCGATTACCCCAAAAGAGACGGTGGCCTGCTCAGTGCACAGGAAACCTGAGGCGGCAGAACTACGAGAGGTACCCGTACAAGACGCCGGAATAATGCCGGTCGGAGAATGCCGGCGTAATAGAATGATTACGCCGCTGGCCTCACGTGTCCTGATATACATACCAAGTTTCATAAAGTTCGGTCCAGGCATTCAAACGTTAATGGTGCGGGGTGGGGTGGGGGATTAACAGACATACAAACACACAGAGAACATGAAGACAGCATAAATATACTTTAATTTTTTTTTTCAAAATGAGGAAAGCAGGCTAAAAATTAATCAGGATATATTAGATCCATGTTCTGAAAAGGATTCGAACCCGTACAGTCAGGATATGAAGAGTACGACCGTGCGGTCACAGATATCGGTAGTTGTTAGGAAGGTTCTATTATGACTTTACATTAGCGCCAAGCTGTTCAAGTTTCTCTCTGTATTAGTAACGTGTACAGGCCCATGTAGTCTAGGTACAGAACGTGAAGCGAGATGATATATCCGTTTCTAAGGCGTCGTTTCCAAGAGATGAAATAAGAAAACTTGAGATGAACCGTGCATACAATAGTCCTACGTATACAATACATGAGAGATAGGCAAACAATCTTTGTCGAGAAGCCTAAAAGGGGGGAGATGACTTGTTAGAATCAGGCGTAGATGGAAGGATATTAAAATCATCTTTAAAAAACGCGGTGAGAAATTGTCTACTGGATTTATCTGGCTCAGGACAGGATCATATGGCAAGTTCCTGTAAATACGGTAATGAATCTTTCGGTTCTATAGAATGAAATTTCTGAGCGACTACTAGCTTCTCAAGAAGAGCTCTTCACCTACGAGGTGTTTGTCATCTCCAACATCAAAGTCTGGACCTTTCGATCCGGTCTGTTCTTCTGTAAAATAGGTTAATACTTCCAGCATAACTTCCTGGGTTCAATGGGTCTTGTTCCTCAAGGTGTATAGTCAAGTGACTATTTTGGAATGCGTTAAGTTTCCAAAAAGATGAACGAATTAAGTCTATTGCTCCAAATTATATTGTTTAAATTTAATATATTTACTCGGGATTGCTAGCCGGAAGGTCGCGGGTTCAAGTCCCGATGAGGTCATTGGATTTTTTTCAGTTGACCTAATCCTTCCAGCCGCACTAGGCCCTGGGGTTTACTCAGCCTCTAACAGAAATGAGTACCAGAAATTAATTTAATAATTTTCCTGGGTAGTAAAGCGCGGCCGGTGCGTAAGGCTGACAACCTTACCTCCATCTTTGAGCCAATTGTCTAGATGATGTGGGACCCTCAACGTCTCACAACCCTATGAGCCTTCGCGGCCTGATACAGGGATAGCTTTTCTTTACTTTACTTTACTTTACTTTACTTTACTTTACTTTTTACTCGGGACTGCTGCGTCTTTGGACTTCGTCCATCGTCCGGCATTTTAAAGAACACCAAAGAAAACAACGTTTCAGAAACGGAATCTGTTTCCGAAACGTCGTGTTCTCCAATATTTAGAATGCCGGACGACGGGAAATTCCAAAAATCAAATAATCCCAAATGTTATACCCCATCGTCTGAACCCTTTACAATCGACTTTAATATATTTACTTTTATTCTAATCAGTATGTCTCTAAGGTTTATCCTTTAATATGTATCCCGCCATATTAGTTACTTAATTAGTTTGTTGGTTAGTTAGTTAGTTGCTTAGTTGAGGCCGCGCCATAGCTCAAGCGGTTAGTCGCTGGTTTCCCTCCGCGGCGGCCCGGGTTCGATCTCGGGTCTGGTCAAGTGGGATTTGTGGTGGACAAAGTGGCGCTGGGGCAGGTTTTCTCCGAGTACTTCGGTTTCCCCTGCCAATCTTCATTCCACCAATTGCTCCACAATCACCCTCACCTATCATCTGGGGCTGGTACAATAGGCCAGAAGTGGCCGCAGTACAAGGGACTTAGTCCCACCCCACTAGCAAAAAAAAAATAGTTGCTTAGTTCACTGTGTAAAAAACAATATACTGTCCAAATGAGTATTGCGTTCCACCTTGTACATGTGACGAAACAGAGCCGGTGGCTGGTGGCAGTGTTAGCTGTGATAAGAAGCTTTAAATTATGTGAGAAAATTTTGTTGACGCCAATTAAGGTTCTCTATTGTGAACCTCTCGTGAGAAAAATCCATGATATTTTAAAATGAAATTAGTTGGCTCCTTGTGGAGAAGATTCTAGTCGGGGATTTCCGGATTTGTTATGGACGTGGAATTCTGTTGAACAGAACGTTACAACTTCCGGTTGTGTAGTTTATTCGTCGTTTACTTAAAAACTTTCTATCAAAAGATAAAGTGTTCGCAGTTAAATACACTTTACAACTATTGCGATAATTATTAAAGGCGTCAACAATAAGACATTAATTACACAAATTACAATTAATAATAAATCCATGTTTCGGCCGTAACAACTGTCATCAATCGGAAAATATAGCGCATAAAACTTCACATTAAAATGCAAATATTGGATATCATTGAAATAAATAATTTATAAGAATGTATCCATAAAATGCTTGGAAATTCTTGAGTAGCTGCAGGTTTGGCTTCTCAAGAAGGGCTCAGCTCCATAAGTAAGTGTCAATTTTGTAAGACTCGTGGTGTAAAATTGTAATATTATTATATAAAAAAAGTAGCAAATATGTGTTGATCGATATAGAGTTCGTTGGCAGGTGCAACTACAGTTTATATAGACCATCACTTGTATATAATTTAAATGTCTTTAAAATATTTCACTCTATTAAGTGAGCGGAACTTATATAATTATTCTTAAATATTCTTCTAAGTAGCAAAAATGAAGATGCATTTTAGATGCAAATTTTGGTTTCATTCATGGTAAGTGTAGGTGTAAGGACATTCTGCTAGAAATAAATCACATATGCAGTTCTTCAGCCACAAAATATGTGCACGTAATAAAACCATGTCAATCATCTTAAGCTGTTCACAAGTTCCCGCCACTGGACCCCATACTGAGCTAGATTAATTCATATCTTCATGTCTTATCTCTTTAATACGTCTGTAGGTTTTAATATCCTCACCTCCTACGCCTAAAATTACCCCAAATGATATCTTACCTTCAGGCTTTCCTTACAAAAGTATCACTTCGCGTGATGAACAAATTTTATGGGCAGGACATCTGTTAAAATTATCTGGAGAAGTCACAGTTAAGCGAATACAGTTTATTACGTAGCATGAGACATGGGTTGCTTGTTACCTGGCAGATGGGCTTGCTGAATTGCTGAGCGGCGTGCAGTGGAATTCACTTTCCCTCTCGTTGCACTGAAGATGTAGCAATACCCGAACGTTGAAGACCACTGTTGTGGACCTTGAGTCCATCTCCTTAGGCTCATCTCACGCAGATGATGCAGCAACTCTCTGCGACATCTACCTGCATCCGCAGTAACTAATATACTCGTACAGAGTGGTCAAAAAAAGACGAATGAAACTAAAGGCATTGGATTAAACTGAAATTTCTTTGTAAATTCAACATCACTGACTCTGTTTTAATTGTTGTAGTTATTCCGAATTGCAGTTTGTTCTACGCGGTAGCGTAGTTGGTTGAGGCACTATGTTACAAGTCGGAAGGTCGCAGGTTAGATTTCCGATGAGGTGGATTTTTTTTTTAATTTACCCTATCCTTCCAGCCGCACTTAACCCTGGGGTCGACTCAGCCTCTAACATAAGTGAGCACCAGGAATATTCCTGGGGCTAAAAGGCGGCCGGCGCGTAAGATTGACAACCTTACAACCATCTGTGAGCCGATTTTCTAGAAGATGTGGGAACCTCAACCTCTCACAACCCTATGGACCCACACCGCCTGTTACAGGGATAGCTTTACCTTTTTTTTTTCCTGTGGCGCTACAGCCCCAATTTGGGATTAGGCCTACCTCCACGAAACTCTCCGTTTCACTTCGGTTTATTAGATCTTACACATACGGTAGGACTCCTTGGGCGAGTGATCAGCTCGTCGCAAGGCCTCTACCTGTAGACAAACACAGAAAAACGCACACAAACATCCATGCCCTGAGTGGGATTCGAACCCACGATCTCGGTTTCCGAGCGAGCGAAGACAGTGCACGCCTTAGACCGCTCAGCTACCGTGACCGGCAGCTTTACCTTTACCTATCGTTATTATGTTAATGTGCCACTGAGCGTTTCGCGGGCGTGAATAAGAATGTTCCAACCATTCAGTGGATTAACTTTACTTTATTTCTGTATTTCTACAATATATTGGTCACTTCTTCAGTGGCGTTTATAACCCGAAAGAAAAATGCATATTTGTTTCATGCAAATAATCACGTTAACTGGATAATACGAGTATATACCTGGTGTCAGCACATCATGCGGTTACATGTTTTGGTGTTTTCTTATTACCGGCCCGCAAATATTGGTTTCACGATGTAGTTATTACGTAAAACGTATGCACTTTAGTTATTCTGTATGACAGTTTTCATCTGTTAATTCTAACTTATGTTACCTTAAACAAATTGTGATGTACTTAATTTTAATTTGAGGCATTATGCTACATACCGGAAAGTCACGGGTTCCATTCCCGTTCAGGTCATTAAATTTTCCAGTTGACATAATCCTTCCAGCGGCTCTATAGCCCTGGGGTCTACTCAGCCTCTAACAGAAATAAGTACCAGGAATCTTCCTGGGGGTAAAGGGCGGCCTGCGATAAGGTTGACAACCTCACCGCCATCTGTGAGCCGATTGTCTAGAAAATGTGAGAGCCTCGGTGTCTCACAACCCTATAGGCTTCCACGGCCCGTTATGGAAATATAGGTGGGCACCGCCAGGACCTTCTCCAAAGGGGGCAACCAGTTTTCAGAAAGGAGGGTAGCCCGAATATGTGCTTACAGACTTCGGTTTAGGCGGTTTTGGATTCTTTGTTCACTATTCGCCCTCGAGCAGAGGTCCTCAAAATTGATATGTTCTAAAATAATACATAAATTTGCATAATCTCCCTCCCCCACATCTCTGCCGGTCAGCAAATGTACAGTTTTACGAACTATTAGTGGTCTCCGTAGATTTTACGTCCAGTCCAGGAACCTAAATAGCTGTAAAACCTTTCTGTAGGTACAGTTTGCTATACATAAAATGTTCCTCCATAGTAAGTAAGTAAGTAACGTACAGTTATCCCTGTAACAGGCCGTGAAGGCCCATGTGAGACGTTGAGGGTCCCACATTATCTAGACCAGTGTTTCCCAACCTTTTTGATGCCGCGGACCCCCTGTACCGAATGTTAATTCACCGCTGCCCCCATAAAACCCAAAATGGAAATTTTTAAATTTTACGAGTATATATCATAAAAATGAAGCAGTAACTTAAAATTTTACAACACTAAATGTGTCATTTATGACAATAAAATACTGTTATAAATGGAGATATTCGGAAGATTACGAACATATCAATTAGGCGTAATATTATGAATTTAACACTCACCTAATGTGATGGCTGGTGCTGTTTTTCAGATGTCAATTTTCGAATGTCAGGATCAAAACTGGATAATTTCAGACGTAGATCTGGCTCCACGTTAATACTGTTTTTCTTGTGTACAAGATGATAAAATGTTGTCTCGCACAGATATGTAGTGGGAAATGGCAACAGATGTCTTACAGCCCTTTTGGAAATTTCAGGGTAAACAGACCTAGCTTGGAACCAAAACTCCAGTTACGGTAACGAAGGAAACAGCAATTTTAACGTCGAATCACAGGACAGCTCGATAAGTTGCTCTTCCTCGGCAGAAGGAAGTTCAAATTCAGAGTCTACAAAGGGATTTTTCATCCAGTCGTTATTTTCAAGACCAAACGGAAAATACAGACGTAGTTGAGACGCCAATGACCTCATATGTTCAATCATACTTTCAGCAACATCACTAGAAAGGGGTTGTTCACTGGAATCAATGAAATCACTCAGCATGTGAAAGGAATCGTATTTTCCTTTCTCGATACGGCTGCACCACAAATTTAACTTCTTGATTGTTGCCTCTATCTTGTCTTGCACAGAAAACACGGTGACAGATGTACCTTGAAGGCTCGAGTTAAGAGTATTCAAGATGTTAAAAATGTCCGCCAAGTAAGCAAGAGAGGAGAGCCATGCGAAATCATTTAAATAGTGTGTTAACTGAAATTTAGAGTTTATGAGGAACAACCTTACTTCGTCTCGAAGCTCAAGCAACCGCGTCAAAACCTTACCCCGGGACAGCCATCGGATTTCTGAGTGCAATAATAAGTGTTCGTGATCACTTCCCATTTCATTACAAAGCGCAGAAAATAATCGGCTGTTAAGAGGACGGGCTTTAATAAAATTGACAATTTTTACTGCCTCGTCTAGAACGATTTTCATTTTGGAGGGCATACGGCGTGCAGCTAATACTTCGCGGTGTATGCAACAATGTGTCCATTTAACAAGAGGTGCGACTTTCTGGATACGTGCGACCAAACCATTATGTATTCCCGACATTGCCTGAGCACCATCTGTGCTGATACCTACACATTTTTCCCATTGAAGTGTATTTGTAGTTATGAAGTCATTGACAACTTTGAAAAGGGCTTCAGCAGTTGTATTAAGAGGTAACGATTCACAGAACAAAAAATCTTCACAAACTTTATTTTCGTGTTCATATCGCACCAAAGCTACCAAATTAGCATTATTTGAAATATCGTGGCTTTCATCCAACTGCAACGCAAAATATTCACTATGACGTAACCGTTCTAGCAAAATATCTTTCACATTTTGAGCCATCTCGTCGATTCTTCTTTTCACAGTATTGTCAGATAACGATATTAGAGACACCTCGTTGGCATGTTTTTCACTAAACAAGTTCTTTGTTATCGTTTTTGTAGCAGGCAAAATTAAATCTTCCCCGATTGTATGGCGTTGTCCATTTCTAGCGATCAGAAGGGCGACTTCGTAAGAGGCAAGAACAGCCTTTTCATTTTTCGTTCCACATACAATGTCCTTAACTAAATTCTGTGAACCACAAAGTTGCAGTTTCTTATTTTGAAAATATTCTATTGGCTTATTAACTGATTCGCCATGTTTCGTTTCAAGGTGGCGTCTCAACTTCGACGGCTTCATAGATTCATTCGATAACACTTCGCAACAAAGAACACACTGTGGTCTGTCTTCGCCGTCTTTATTCAGAACGGAAAATCCCATTTGCAAATAAGATGGACAATATTTGCGTGATTTTTTGAGGGAAGGAACTTTATCTGCCCTGGTACTATTTTCGACAACACTAGATCCACTCGGATTATCGTCTGTCTTACGTTTCAATGATCCACACTTTAACCACCGATCCATATCTAAATAAGATCGTGAACAAACTGAAAATCAGAAGTTTCGTTGTGAACTCAATTATTTGAACAAAAGCAGAAAAACTGAATATTACACCGAGAAAAACACACTTGTATAATATTATAAAAATTCACTGCACAAAAACTAAAGAAACACGGGTTGTTCGCTCTGCCACTGAAATGAATAAGAAACGTGGTCAATGGTCCCAGGTTTATTCCCAACCAAAGAGGGATGGATTTGGTGGGGGAGGAGGGGAGAATGGTCGGACAGCAGTCCACCCTGAAACACGGGTCTGAGATGCAATGGGCCGACCAAAAGAAAATGTCCTTCGAAAAAGCTACACAAATCGTTGGTTATTCACCTCTGCTTTACAAAGGGAAGAAGTAACGGTACCAACAGTCCCGTTAAATTTTACTTCAACCATGGGCCTCAAGAGCCAGAGATATACATTGCAAATATCCCAGGTGTGAGGAACATGATAAGATAAAGTTTAATGAAAATAAACTATCCCGCGGACCCCTTTTGAATTACTCGCGGACCCCCAGGGGTCCACGGACCACAGGTTGGGAAACACTGATCTAATCGGCTCACAGATGGCGGTAAGGTTATCAGCCTTAGGCGCCGGCCGCGCTTTACTCCCAAGGAAAATTATTTAATTAATACCTGGTACTCATTTCTGTTATAGTCTGAGTCGACCTCAGGGCCATAGTGCGGCTGGAAGGATTAGGTCAATTAAAAAAAAATCCAATGACCTCATCGGGACTTGAACCCGCGACGTTCCAGTCTGTAGCATAGTGCCTCAACCAACTACGCTACCGCGTGCCCCCAGAATGTTCCTCCATAGTCATAAGAAAATTCGCTGCATTGCGGGCTGCAGCTACATGTTCCGAGGGCATTTCTGCGATATTTTAATGGCTTGCCAAACTGCGCGTACATGCAGTTATATTCAAAGAATCCTTGAGAATTCGGCGACCCCTGGAATGTTGCGGTACATAGTGAAAGCATGCCCTGGTGTATTCAGGATAAGATAAAGCTTGTTTTAAAATGTTTTTAATTCTTGGTGTTAATATTTGGTATATCTTCTTCCTTTCCAAATTTCATTTTACTTTCAAAAGCCCGGGAGAAGCAGATACCTGGCTCATCCCCCTCCAGTAACCCTAGGCACTACACGAAATACACATACAGACGTTACGCTTCCGGGTTTTTGCAGATACTGGGGTAGTACCTTAAATAGGCCACGACTTGTTCCTTCGACATTCTTGCCAATTCATTATCATCCAATTACTCGACGCTGTATAGCCTGAATTACTGAAGGCGTCGTTAAATAAACATATACATACATAAACTAACTAAATCTGTTACGATCTAGAGTTTTGGTGCTAATTTAGTCCCTTGTTTATATTAACGTGATCTTCTGATACTGAGGCTATTATTCGTAAGATCTCCGCCCTGAACTAGAGACGTAACAAAATAATACGTGCATAAAACATGTATCACGAATTTAATCTAATTTAGATTTCTTAAATTTAAACTTGATAACATTCTGCAGATGCAAGTTTGTTACTGTATAGTCTGTGATGCCTGATGTTGATTTGCATCTGGTATGTTTCATGATAACAACGAATTTTTGTATGTTTATTTATGGTTAATTATGACACTGTTAGTAACTCACTCTACAAACGCCGAATTGTATGACGATTAATAAAAATGAATTGTAAAGTTTGTGGAATGAAACTGTAATGACGTAATTTGAGGTACTATTTGCCTGGTTTGACTGAGGAAAATCACGAAAAGCAGACAACTGGGCCAAAATTTGAAACTAGACTCTTTCGAAAACAGAGCAGGAGCGTTATTCACTTCACCTCAACTTTCGGCTTCAGTAATCAGAATAATTGTATCTCTTCATAATGGATAGGCAACCCACTTTACATCATATGTCTGCACAGTGTTAAGTGTACCACAATTTAATTAGATTATAAAACTTACTGATTAAGACATAATCTGACATAATAATATGCGTATGCTTTAGTGACCACCTTGTAAAATTTGTATGCATCACACAGCCACAGATGTTTGCACATCAATAAAGATGAGTTGTGTGGATGGTAGATTACGTATTCAGCAAATTCGAACTATTTTTGTATTTGTTGCTCAATGTCTTGCCGAGGTAGCCCAGTATTGGTAATCTCAATTGCTTAAAACAGATGAGGCCTGAATAATTTGTAGAAATACTAGATTTGATTCCAGTTATATGCTGAATTCCACGTCAATAGCAATTGCCCGTTCTCTTGTTTTCGGCAATTTGCTGCCTTATGTTGTATCGTTTTCGTAGAGAAGGAAGCAAGTTGAAAGTATGTAAGATTTGAGGCTTTCACGGCGGTGACTATGAAGAAAACAGTCTTCTGAGATTTGGCACCGTGTATATGTGGTGTTAACCGACGTTTCGGAGGAACGTATCGCCTCCATCTTCAGGGTAGAAGAAAAATATAAGAAATCCGCAAGCGAAGAGACCTCCGAAACGTCGGTTAACACCACATATACACGGTGCCAAATCCCAGAAGACTGCTTTCTTCAAGTTGAAAGTACTGTGAAAATAAATTATCTTCTTAGGGTACTGGTAAGGAGATCAAAAGTGGGGGATACGGGTGATAAACCCATCCGAAATATTTGTCTGTCTGCGCATAATGCTCTGGGGGTCGTCTCCCTCTTACTTTTTCTAAATATTGAACATGACTGAGGTTCAATCAAGGAAACGCAGGATAAAATCAAGAGGCGAAGTAGAATTTTACTGGGAAACTTCTTTAAATGGTTCCTTCGGAAGCAGGCGGAGTTGGAGGAAAAATATTACAACAGATTTAAACGTGGTCGTTGTCCAACGTAAACTATGGATTAAACGCATTTTCTTAGGCGTAGATGGTACTTTCATTATCTACATAAGCACCGTCAGGGCGAGGGCACACCAAGGAAACTGGCAACCGTAACGCAACCATTTCCGAGAATTATTATCAGCCTGAGTTGAACACGTGTTACTGAATGGAACCGCGCAAATTGAGTAAAATGCAACACGGTTGCGGTTGCCAGTTTCCTTGGTGTGCCCTCACCCTAAGAGTTGTTTGGTTTGTGAATTTTCGTTAGGTCTATTATTAAGATCGCTAAAAGATACTCCAATAAAAGTACATTTATTCACATTTATCTGCCTGAATAACGTAACAGATATAGAGTTCTGTCATTTGGTATTTAAGTCGACTGACGTTTCGGAGGCACATATCGCCTACATCTTTAGGGTCGAAGGGTAAGCTAAGCAAGAAGTCGGAATGAAGCAGGCAGTAAGTTTGATATACGTACCATGGGCCAAGGTCGCGCCATTGCTCAAGCGGTTAGTCGCTGGTTTCCCACCGCGGCGGCCAGGGTTTGGTCAAGTGTGATTTGTGATGGACAAAATGGCGCTGGGGCAGGTTTTCTCCGAGTACTTCTGTTTCCTCTGCCAATCCTCATTCCAGCAAATTCTCCATAATCATAAGAATCACCCGGGACAGGTAGGCCGGCCTCCCGAACAGACTCAGCTGGACTTCAGCCCCCACGACCTTACGTGAGCCATGGTCGGTTGGCATCCCTGACGGATTCGTTATACTTACTTCCGCCAGATGGCAAGCATTATGCAAAGTTGCAGAAGCTAAATTGGTAGACCAATAAACGTGGTTTATAGAAACTTCCGTTCCGCCATATTTCAAAGCGGTTATCGTGCTTCGAAAATTTGAAAGTGTTAAAATGTTTCCGTAAAACATATATGACTGTGGTTGAATGTATGCCTTCTACGACTGTAATACATTCAGAACTGAATAAGTGCATACTTTTATGACATTATATTAGCTCTCAGTGTTCTGAACAAGAGGTTTTCTTTTCATGAATTGTTCAAACAGGAGGTATCTTTTATTTATAAGTTCAAATAGGGTTTGTATACAGTATTTGGTTAAGTTTCTGTGCAAACAAAACGAATACTTATATTTCATTAATCACTATTATATATTCGAAGGCCGGGATACCGCAGTCGATGTAATAATGACTGAGGGTTCAGATTTTGAGTCCTGATAGGGCCAAGAATTTTCTCCATGTCATCAAGACCGGCTCTGGGGTCCACCCAGCCTCCTATCCAATGGGCACCGGGAGTAAAGCTGACCACTCACCTCCAACTAGTGCCAAGGTCAAGGAAATGTAGATCTATACATCCACTCCCCCATACACCTTCATGGCATAGTGCTTAATTAGTTAAGCACAGGGACAACTTTACTTTCTTTGCCTTTACCTATTATATATTCATAGCCATAATTTGCAATTAGCTCTGCACTGTGGCTTGGTTTTTTTTTTAAGCAGAAAAGGGCAGTTTTGTTGTTGGCAAATAGTTCAGTGTCGCACACCATGAAGTGGCAATTCAGAAAGAAATAACACTGTCTAAGGGGATTAAACTTTCTTATGAAGTGATATAATAAATGCTTTCCTCAACCTTGTTCACTTAGATCATAATCATATCAATTTTTTTGTAAATTGGAATTTTTTCCATGTATTGCATAGTGAATTATGTTCTTTTAAAGCTCTTTTTCACTCATAATATATCCTTTTTGTAGGATGTGACCATCATGTATGTATGTACATAGTCTTGGAACATATTGTCTTGCACGCACACAGATGCACACACATTCACGCTCACAAACGTGCATTCCCAGAAGAGCCAATGGAAACTGCCAGTGATAATACCCTAGCTGAAAGGCTTAGAAGAGAAGATCCAGAACAGTTTCACACTTTAGTCAGGATGCATTTATCATTTGTTTTGGACCTCAGTACTGATGAGTAAGTATTGAAATGCAATATTATGGCATATAATGAATATAAATATCTACACTGATGATAGGAGTTAGTTAGCCACTTGTTCTCACACCCCACCTACTTCGCACAACTCTCTTGTCAACACCAATAAGATACTGAGAATGCAAAGAAAGAAGCTGTTGATGGAATGGAATTCAGAATACAAGTGATGACTGGTGAAAGTAGGGGAAGGCATGCAGAAGGGAGGCAGCTGCTACAGAGGTGAATGGGGGGAGAATCTGGTCATTCTTTCTCTAAACCAACATTAGTGTTATGATTCTGACCATCATGGTAGGATAAAAACATAGCCTTTGGATTGTTTTTGGTTATATTATACTAGGATTAAAGAGTATGATAATACTTACAAACCAATCCATAAAACTAACTGACTAATAAATTTGCTAGTAAGTTCAATGCAATGTCTTACTTTTGGGGATATGAATTTTATAGGATGGCTAGACTTTGTATACTTTTTGTCTGCAGTGAAATTACTCTATCATACCTATTTATTAATGTTAATGTACAAAATTCATATCGTTCTCTTGATAACATTAACCCATTATTTATGAAATTGGGGTTTACTCAGCCTCTAACAGAAATGAGTACCAGGAATTAATTAAATAATTTTCCTGGGGAGTAAAGCACGGCCGGCGCATAAGGCTGACAACCTTACCGCCATCTTTGAGCTGATTGTCTAGATAATGTGGGACCCTCAACGTCTCACAACCCTATGGGGCTTCACGGCCTGGTACAGGGATAGCTTTACTTTTACTTTACTTTTTACTTAAGTTATACTAAAATAATGAGAAGTGAAGAGTTTATATGTGTATTGATATTAATTACATTTTTTATTTAACCCAGCATATTTGCCTACATCTTAGGAAACTCAGAAAAGCTTGAGTTAGAAAATATGGTGGAGTAACTGCTAGGATGTCTTAGGATAGAGATAAAACAGGTTAAATAAAAATCATATTATAAAGCTTATTATGACACCTCATATACATGCCATTGATGTCATGTAAATAAAAATGGAAAATGTAATTTTCAAAGAACTACTAATTGTAATTAATAGAATTAGTTTAACGTGTATCATTTCTATCCACGTAAAATATTGTTTATAGTAGGTGAATGGCCCAGTGATTAATCTTGAACTAAAGCTATCCTATGTAATACAAAGCTGTTTAATTTGTTTTAAAATTGTGTTCCTCATTGTTTGTGCTGTAGCTGTTTGTCTGAATCGCATGCCTCCAACATCCACTGTCCTGGCACCATGTTGCATGTGCTCTTTTGTATATGCAAGGAGTCTTGTAGCTGTGTGAAGCCATTACGAACTAATAAAAGTCAGCAGCATGCTAGCATCATAGAACTCGAACGGTATGCTTATTTATGTTGCTCTGTATAGTAAGCATTTATTGTTATCACAGTTTTAAAAGAGTCACATCTTCATAGTTTTTTTCTGAGGTCTAGTTTAATATATTAATATATTCTTGATCTATCAGTGGGTACATTCCAAGAGATTTCCTTATTGGAACTAAGTATCACTTCTTGTTTCCTCTAGTAGCCTGACACAAAAACACACACATGGTGTGCTGAAGTTAAGAATGTGTGGATCTCTATCTCCAACTCATATATATCTTCATGGCATGGAGCTTAATAAAGCACAGGGACAACTTTATCTTTATTTGATCTTACCAATAACTTTAGTCATGATTTGTAGAATTCTTTATGGTGTTGTGTGAAGTCTAAGGTGTACCATATGGGGAAGCCAGATATAAGGCAACAGTTGTTACAGAACATAAATGGAGCTGCAGCAGTAAGGCATGAAATGAAAATGCAACAAAACCTTTGACATTTAGTGGATAGATACTTAGTTAACTACAGTCGAAGGATGTCATTTAAAAAAATTAATTTTTTATAGTTGTTTTGGTTGATAATTACTGAAATTGATTATAATATAGTGCAAATCCTTAAGTTTGTAATAAAAACACTTCAGATGAAAATTTATTTAGTATTTACTATAATAATGATGATGAATTTACTTTTGTTTAAGGGCATTTTTGCCTTGAATGATATGTAGAATATGCTTCTGAACTCTGACCTGGGCATGTAGTGGGATAAATTGCATGTTTGGCAATCCTAGCTTAAAGAAAGTACCAGTTGTGGTTTCAATTCTGTTGACAAGTTTGTGACTACAATTTAAATACATGAGTTCTCTCAGTTGTATGAGGATGCTTACAATGTGTAAGTATCGCTATCTTTGTGTCTGTCCACTTGCTGTAAATTTATGATGAAAACTGCTTTAAGATGTTTGAGGTCATTTTATTTATGCCTTTTACCATTTCAGTTGTGAGTGTGCCTCGGAAAAGGCTAGATCCCGCCTGCAGAAATGGGGGTTTGTACCATTTTCCAAGAAAGGGAAGTGTGCTGTGAAAGGAGTAATGGAGGGTGCTCCACTTACACAGGAAGGCATTTGTCAAGTCTACCAACTTATTGACTTCCTCAGCAAGGAGCAAAGTAATGCCCATAAAACTTCTATCTTATGAACCTTTTAATAATTACTCTTCATGATTTTGTGAACGTGCGTTAGACTGAATAGATGTTATATGTTTTTATTTTGTTGTCATTTAGTTAATGATCCTGTCAGGAGCTGACACTATATTGCATTAAATGATAGGCTGTTTAATAAATGGAAGGGTTGTGGATGGAAGCAGTTATGGCCTAGTTTAAGGTACTTTCCTGGCATTTGCCTGAAGCGACTGAGAGAAACCAAAAAAAAAAAAAACCCCCTCAGCTAGGTTGGCGGTTTCCTGGTGGGCCAAGACCCATACAAGTATATAGATAATATTAGGTTTTCATGAAGTTTTAGGAGGGTCTGGTTATGGGATGATAGATGTTTTGGAAGTGGTTATATATTGCATATTCTCCGCCATACAACTTTTAAAATTGATAGAATTATTATGTGCATTTCCTGTTTCACTTGCAGACATCTGTCAGGAAGGAATCTTCCGACGCAGTGGAAAAATGACACGTCAGCAAGAACTGAAATCATTTCTAAATCAAGGAATGCCTCTGAACCTGGACGATGGCCATTTTTCAGTACATGATTGTGCTTCTGTGCTGAAAAACTTTCTGGCAGAACTTCCTGAATCTTTGCTCACCGATGCTCACTATCCAGCATATTGTCAGATAGCAGGTAAATGATGCAGTGTCTACACTGTGAACATATAAGTGCAGAAGAATGTTATGTAATGCCAGTTATATATTTGATGCATTGACCTTACTTTTTACTTTGTTTCATTTAATATGTTCAATTTATCTAGGCTGTAAATAGATACCAAGAGAGTGAAATACAAGTTATTGTCCACATATAAGTGGACATATTACTACAGTAATTCTAGTCACAGTCAGTCAGTAATAATATCATAGATGATGAGTTATCATATACAGTAAAAGGTAAAGTCGTCCCTGTGCTCAACGAATTAAGCTCCACGCTGTGAAGACATATGGGGGAGTGGATGTATAGATCCACATTTTCTTGACCTTGGCACTAGCTGGAGGTAAGTGGTCAGCTTCACGGCCCGGCCACTTTACCCCTGGTACCCACCGGATAGGAGATTAGGTGGACCCCAGAGCCCGTCTGGACGATTTGGAGGAGAGAAAATTCTTGATGCTCCTGGGACTCGAACTCTGACCCCTCACTTGTTCAGCCCATAGCCAGTCGCTATACTGACTACTCTACCCCAGCTCCTATCATATACAGTTGCACCAAATTATCCTGTTGCAGAAATGTGTGGAGGTACATCAGGCTCCTCGGATGAACCAGGCAATCAGAACAGGGAAAGCCGTTTGTTGAGAGCTTTGCAGCTGTTGTTTTTGCTGCTTCCAACAGAGAATCGCATCTTACTGAAAGACATTCTGAGGTTACTGCATTTAACAGCGAAGCATGAGGGAAAGAATAAGATGTCTGCTGACAGTTTGGCAACACTCTTTACGCCACATCTACTTTGCCCACGCAAGGTATTGCTACTTGAATATTTATTAGGAATATTGTATTAACACATGCTACTGCAGTATTTTTGTCATACTATCCTGTCAAAACTGTTGAAATATAACTGTTTCCGAAGTCTGACACAGAGGATTGACTTGTAAGAGACCTGTGAGTTTGTTGCTTATGAATGTGGGAATAGATGTTGAGAAGGCTTGATATTCAGCCTCTGTAGCTCAGATATATCTATATTTATGAAATAAAAATAAAAACATGATTTCTATTCTGCCTAAAGCTTCTTCAGTTTTTCATTATTCAATTGTAGTTGTTGAGTTACATAATGCATAATCCGTACTATTATTTCTGTACTTGTGTTGTATTTTAGTCATAGGACTTTCAGAACAATGTAGGAAGAACCAAGTGAAAAATGCATCAGGGTTGTCCACTTCTTTTCTGACAGACTATTTGTCTGTTGAATTCAGATCTAGGTCAACCCAAGTTCACTGCATGATTTCTTTCTATTTTCACAGCGGTTTTCCAATTGTATACATATGAGACAATCATGTACTATCTCTGTGTTTAGACACCCATTAGGACATGACAGTACCAGAAGTGTGCTTGGTTTTTGCCCTAATCATAGAGATGACACAGTTTACCAGACTCTCTGAAGGAGTACTGGTATACCGAGAATGATTTCACACTCGCATATTGTGGTCCTCAGGGTCATGACACCATGCAGTCTGGTAGGTGGTATTAACATTTCAGAGGAACACATCCTCATTTTCAGCACAGAAGTGAACAAAGCTTGGAGAGTGACAGTTTATACAGATGTAGAAGGAAAGGAAATGAGTCATGGGTGACAGGTTTATTCGGACTAGCAGTGACCAGCCATGGTTTGAATATAAAACAATATTTATATCCTGACTAGTATGCACACTACAAAGGAAGTAGGCTAAGTAATAACGTTTCTGATTGTACTCTAGAGGTGATCTCAATGGGACACTGATTGTCCTGACCAAGGTTGTTTTCCTCAGTCCCTCCAGGCAAATACCAGTATAGCACCTAAAACTGGGCCACAAATACTTTTTTCTACATCCTTTCCAATAATTATTCACTAATCCTACCATTTGGTGCTGTATATTCTTACCTGCTGACAGCATCAATTTATGAACCCTAGGTAGTGTAGTTGGTTGAGGGGCTATGCTACAAGCCAGAAGGTCACGGGTTTAAGTCCCAATGAGGTCATTGGATTTTTTTCAATTAACCTAATCTTTCCAGTCGCACTATGTCCCTGGGGTCGACTCAACCTCTAACAGAAATGAATACCAGGAATTAATTAAATAATTTTCCTGGGGAGTAAAGCGCGGCCAGCGCGTAAGGCTGACAACCTTACCGCCATCTATGAGCCGGTTGTCTAGATAATGCGGGACCCTCAACATCTCACAGCCTGGTACAGGGATACCTTTACATTTTTTTTTTAAATATGAGTGTGCAAACACTCACCATAAGCTGGAAATTTCTGTGATGTATGTGGAAATGCTGTGAAATCTGCAATTTTAGAGGATTACAGTGGGGCGTGTGTTTTATAGATAAGGTTCATAATTACAATCACATACTTGAGAGACTGTGACTCTGTTAAAAGTAAACTTTCTGGAAGCATGCAGCATTGGTGTTCCAGAGGAAAGCAATTGCAGTGCCTTGTCTTATTCATAAAAGGGGTAAGCATACACCTTACCGATGTGAAAAATATGGACCATTTACTGTCACATCCTCTAGGGGTCATCACACTACAATGGATTTGTGAGGGCAGTACCTTGACATGGAACAGTCATAGGATTCATATAGCACAGATGAATCAGAAAGAAACCAGATGTTTTAATTAGTTTTGTCTCATAACAGGTTTATATGAGCCTCTTTTGAATATAACTGGTTATAGAAACAAAATTTTTGTAGTGCCATCACCCAAATTATTATTTGCTTTAAAATAATTTATATTCTGTGTTTTTTATCATTGATAGTTTTGGAGAAATTTACATTTGCAGAAAAGAGGGCACTCTTTTAATTGAGGCCATGAGCAACTACAGGGAAGATTTAAATCTGGTGCAATAAAGATTGGTGGCAAGTTCTGGCTGATTTGTAATTTTACCTGCTAGAGCTGTTAAATAAAATACAATGCAACTTAACTCTTTCCTTTTTTAAATATGTGTATGTTGACGTTTATTTCAGCTCAGTCCTGAAGCTATTCATCTTAACTCACAGACAATGTCAAGGGTGATAGCTTTTATGATTCAGCAAGGGACAACATTGTTCAACATTCCACCAAAACTTGCAACTGACATTCGTGCATATTTGGCTGAGAGGGAGAGGAGGAGACTGTCACCAAAGAAAGAGGTATATAAATATGTCACACTTTTGCTGATATAAAATTTGTAATTTTATTATTTTTCAGAATATGAGTGCACAGATTTGTCAAGCCCATGTAATAAACTGACTCACATTTCATTGTAAATCGTTACATGCATTGATATGAACAATATGCTGTGTGCTTGTGAAGTTTTTTGGTTCCAAGTATATCTTTTTTCTAGAATTCCTTACAATTATCACAAAACATGAGACACTGAAATATTTGTGAGGATGTCAATAAGCACAAATTTTGTTAAAATAATTTTACTTCGGGCTTTTAGGAAAAATTCTGGTCTATAAAACCGAGATTAATGCCATTGGGAACCGTTGCGCTGAACACATGATACCCTCTAACCGCAAAAGTTGGCACTAACTTCCCCAACAAGCGGCGGTTGCTAGGTTGGAATACTTTGCTTGCGGCCTAAAGACCACAGAGTTGTTTTGGGAACCCTTTAAAATGTTGGTACATGAAAAATCTTGTCTGTTCATTTTCTGTGTCAGCAATAATGGGTGTAAAGCTGCAGTCTGAAAATTCTCTGTACTCCAAACTGGGTGTACCTTTCTGCTCTTGTTTATTTCAGTCATGAGATGTTTGAGCCGTCAGTGCATTCATACATTTCTTTGATATTGTATTTCAGCTGAGTGAGAGTGTCTGCGATGGGACAGCAGCTAACACCATATTCAGTTTTGTGGACCGAGAGCGCACAGCCCTGGCACATGTTGCTAACCCTACAGAGGCAGCTTTAGCACAGCTCTATGCACATATCCAGTCTATGCCTGAGTCGTCTAAGAAAAAGAAACTCATCAAACAGTTTAACAAGGAGAATGGTCATGGCACACCACTACAAGTTAATATGAGGCGGAAAAACCATCTGAGGAGCAAGAGCCTTGGGGATTCCATTAAAGTAAGACAGAATTTCAGTTCACAAATTTTGTGCTATGGGAATAAATTCATGGTATTACTTTATCAAAGAAAACATGTTTCAGTTAGGTTAGCAGCTGCAGCGTCTTTCAATTCATAGCTCAAAGTGAAGCCAAAAGAATTCCAGTAGGAGTGCCTTTCTTAATTATTTTAAGTCACATGGTTTCTTGATCGCTGATCTAATCTCATGGGCCTCAGTTCAGTTCTGTTACATGCAAGAGAAATTTATGGACAAATTAGTCTTCTGCTCTTTAGGCTACTAGTCCACAATTCAGTAGCAAACAAGCTAGATCAAGTTGAAATGTTAATCTTCAGGTTCTTTCCATCTTCCATTGTAGGAGCTTTGTGATAAAGAGTCCTAACCATGCAGCCATTACTATAGGGCCATGTCATTAAACGGTAAAATGCAAGAATAATTCCCTGTTTTTGATATTTTGTACTTTTCCACAGAGTTAAATACAAGAATATTTCGCTGGTTCTTCAAATGATAATAGGATTATATTTGTCATTCATGAGGCAGGAAGTGAAGCTGACCGCTTGCATGTTTGAGGTCAAAATATGTAGAGCAGTACCCTTGCTATATTTAGCTTTTCTACTTGTTTATATTTTGTTGCAGAAGCACATATTCCACAAAGGAACAAAACAGAAAAGTGACAACACTCAAAGTCAATTCAGTGGATCGCATTCCCTAAGCCATGAAGTGCTAAATGTATGTACCAAGTTCATCTCATTCCCTTGCTGTCACTTTACTAGAATAAATGTTGGGAGTTTTGTTGTTTAAATATGTCGTCCTGTATGTTGCACTTTTCAATTGCAGAAACCAGGAACATGTATGAGGTTATTTCAAAAGAGCATGGATGAAGACTCGCGATCATGTGGTGACAAAGATGAAATGTCAAGAATATGCAAGTCACCTTTAAGTAGTACCGATTGTGTTGTTCTTCAGCTTCAATGTAGTATGCTGAATAACTCCAAGCGTGAAAAGCATTCAGATTCCTCCAGCAACAAAGATACAGCTCCTGATGGAACTGAAATTGCTGCCAGGGAACAAATTTTGCAAAACTTGGCAAGCCAGATCGCTGCAAACCATCATGAGGACAAGACAAATAAACTCCTTTCTGGTTCTGCTTTAGGATCGAGGAAGAGGGTGTCATCTTCCAGTTTAGAGTCATCATGTGAGAATGGGCTGTCACCGCCCAAGGCTTCCTGCTGTTCTGCAGACCCCAACTTGCCTTCCTTGTCCCATACTCCATCCACACCTTGCCAGTCAATGTGCAGGAATGAAGGTACAAACATATGGCCTGTGAGTAATCCTGCTACTGCTTTGCCATCCTCGTGTTGTGATCGTTCTGTTGACTGTCAAATTGCTTTGCCTGGCTTCTTCTCCCCGCAACCTCCTCTGGGACACACTAACAACAGACTAACTCCTCGGAATACTCTGACTTATTTCCTGACTACGAGCACTCCGGCGTCTCAGTCCCGACTGAGAATGCCCTCCAGTACTAGAGGCCCAATTGATGCTAACCACAGTAGCTGCCTGCTTACCCCGATAGCTGATGACAATAGTTCTATGTCACCCATTACCAGATCCACACAGAAAATGTCCAAAGCTATGCAGGTAAGCTGCATCTGTTATGTGCCATGTTCTTTACTTCCCAAGCATGTATGTATTGTGTTATGCATTGGTAGAGTTAAGTGCCAATGACATATTAATGAAAAAGAAATATTTTTGATGGGAAGTTTCATTCATTCATCTCTGAAGAATGCCTCCAGTGATGTGTAATAAATGTTCAGATACAATGTAACAAAATACAGTCAACTCTCGATTATCCGGGCTAATGGTGGGGATGGAAGTCACGGTTAATCGAAAACCCGGTTAAGCCAAATTTTATTATACGGGCTGGACGACTGTGAAGGGTCGGAGTTCGAGTCCCGGTAGGGTCAAGAATTTTAACTTCTCCAAATCGTCCAGACCGGCTCTGGGGTCCATCCAACCTCCTATCCAATGGGTACCGGGGGCTCTTTCCCCGGGGGTAAAGCGGCCGGGGCGTGAAGCTGACCACTCACCTCCAACTAGTGCCGAGGTCAAGAAAATTTGGATCTATACATCCACTCCCCCACACGCCTTAATGGCGTAGGGCTTAATTCGTTGAGCAG